GATGGGGAGCATGCAGTGACCGGTGATCATGACAGGAAGTATACATGTTGCCAGATCAAGAGGAGGAGATGGTGACAGATGCTCTGCTGGAGGGCATGTTCAGTCATTTTGGGGCTGTGAATATACTCCACAATGACCAGAGCAGGAACTGTGTCCAAGATTTTTGCTACTTTGTATGAACGTCTGGGCATGCAGAAGACACACACTACACCATTGCACCCTCAGAGTGATGACTTTGTGGAACAGTTTAACCACATGCAGCAGCAACTCACCATCCTCACTGCCCAGTCACTAATGCGACTGGGACAGACAAATCCCTCTGGTCCTAATGGCTTATTGTTCAAGTGTCTACAGTTCCACATGCTGCAACCCTGCCATGCTAATGTTGGGCCAGGAGATCCGGACAACGGCAGAGCTGGCTTTTGAAAAACTGTCAGACCGCGATGGAGACACACCAGGCTGGAGTATGCCTGGAAGCTGCATGATTGGATGGAGATGGCACACACATTTGCCCGAGGTCAGCTGTGTAATATCTGTGCCCATAAGCCTTATGGCATAAGGGGTAAATGTTCCAGGTTCTGAAGTGTGTTGGTGCTCAGTGTGCAAGGTGTGTGTGTAAGACAGAGAAAGAAAGGTGAGACGGGGTGAGCATGTGAGTTGTGGATGTGACAGCAGCTCCTGTTGCACGTTTTTTGGTGGTGTTGTTAATAAATGCTCTAATGAGCACACAGGTGGCTGTCGGCCACCTTATTTTGCATGCTGAGGGGCATTACTATATATATATATATATATATATATATATATATATATACATATATATAATATATGATTGTATCTTAATGCTCAAACATTGGATGTAACTGTAGTTTTGCGTGCCTATCTTTCTGTAGCACTGCTTTATGCTTCATTTATCACCTGCTTTAAAGGACAGCTCATCAGCTTCCTCTCCCACGTAGTCATACAACGCTTTCACCTTCACACCCCCGATCATCACTCTGGAAGGAGAAAACTTACTTCAGGCTGTCAGTATGATGTGGGCTCAAACATTTATCATTCAACTCAATGTTGTTATCATTCATTCATAGAAGGCTTACATATAAAATGAACACACCGTTCAGGATAACTTACGGTCGACTTTCTTTCCCCTTCTGGTCTCTTTTTTTTCTCTTTAGCTTTTTTACAGGTGGGACCCATTGCTGAAAAAAATATAAATAAATAAAAAATTATGGCAGGACAATACTATGGAAGCCCATTTCCGTCATGATAGAAAAAATAAAAGCCCAACAGGAAGTCATAATTTCGAGCTTTAAAGTCATAATTATGAGAATAAAAGTCATAACTTTAATAAGTTTTAAAATTCATAATTTTGACTTTTAACATTAGTTAAAAATCATAATTTCGAGTTTTAAAGTCATAATTTCAACTTTTCTAATTTAATTTTGAAATTTGTCCCTTGCCGGACACCGTGACTCTATAGGGATGCAACTTCCTGTCAGACACCAGTAGTTTTCCTGCATAGCACATGGATTCATTCATTCAATGCATGTCCCTCTGCCTTCAAACATCAATCCTTTTAAATAAAGGTATGTAATGTATGCATCTTTTCATCGCCACTTTATGTCGCATTTAGTATCGAAGCCCATTCCCACTATGGAATAAAAGCCCAATAGGAAGTCATAATTGAGTTTTAAAGTCATAATTACAAGAATAAAAGTCATAATTATGACTTTTTTCTCGTAAGCATGATTTTAAAAGTCAAAATTATGACTTTTATTCTCATTATTATGACTTTAAAACTCATAATTATGACTTTTATTCTTGTAATTATGACTTTAAAACTCAAACTTAGGATTTCCTGTTGGGCTTTTATTTATTCTTTCATGGCGGAAATGGGCTTCCATACATATTAATCATATAGTATGGTACAAGCATTTTAGGGGGAGTGGTGGCACAGAGGTTAGAAGATGGGCTTGTGATCAGAAAGTCGTAGGTTCAACTCCCGGTACCGTTAACATCAAAATGTGGGTGGAAAAGGTGGAACACCCACCCACCCCTCCACCCTCATTCGCCCCACCCTGGGCCCCCGAGCAAGGCCCCTAACCCCCACCCACCATCTGCTCCCTAAACAGGTCTCTCTTGAAAATGAGTTCTTGTGGCTCAATGAGACTACCTGGATAAATAAAGGGTAAAAAAAAAAAAAAAAAAAAATTTAAACATGATGTAAAATAATGGTATATATTTCTTTTTATTTATGTCCAGTCAAGAAGTGGCTTACAATTGATGGAAACTAATAACTCGGTTGAGTTGGAGCCTTATCTGCATGTATCATAGTAAAACTCACCTCAATCTTTGGCCAGTCGGTCGGCATGCCAGGCCCATGGTTATTCTTCCACCATTTGAGATCGTCTTGCTCATCAATGGACATCAAAGTCTGATGGAGCTCACTGTAAACAGCTTTCACACTAACAAGAATAAAAAGTAAAGATGTAAATTATGAGTGCACGCTGCCAAAGACTAAAAGTCAGTTATGTTTTTCTTTGTGCAAAATTTGCCTGTCATGTTAACAAAGTATCTCATGACTCGCTGGACGGATTTGAATAAAACTCAGAAAGCAATTACTGGATGTAAATGAACTTTTTGGAGTCAACCCAATCCATTCCTTCAATCATCCTGGCATTATGGAAGTGAACCACACTTGGATAACTCGCCTCTCGTTGTTCGTGATGTCCAGATGTCTGTGGATGGAGAGAAACGCTTGCTTCAGAAAGCTGATCCTCTTCCTCTCTTCTTCCTGTGACTGCTCAAAAATGGCCTCCATTTCCTCCATGTAGCGAGGTGTGAACGACGACACATCCTCCAGCAACTTTTCGTATCGATCCTTAGCCTGCAAGCAGTCCAGAAAAAATCTTTTTTTGATGAAGAGTTGAAAATGCTCCCCAGAATGAGCCTTTGTATTTCTTTCGTGGAGGATATAAAGTGTGTAAATCATCCCATGCTGGTCTCTATAAACACTAAGCGCAGTAACATTAACACATCCCCATACAAGGGAAATGCCTGGAGCAGAAAGTTATGGTCGGGTCACATGCTTTGAGTTTCCCAAGAGATGAAATATTACCACATGCAGTGGGTCGACAAAATTCCTTTGAAACTCAGATCTATATTGTCTTAGGAATATGATAAAAATAAACTTAATGCGTTTTTAAAAAAAAAAATCAAAATAGTGCTCAAAGTGTGGTGGGTGGGGGAGGTTTGGTACTCTTATCAACACCCAACCCATCTGTGATATCACATCATTGGGTGCCATCACTTTTCTAATCTGACAACTTTTGTCATTTGTTCTGAAAGTTTATTGTTATATAACACTGGAGTCATTACTGGGCAATGACATTAAATCATTATTTGTTCTATGGGCCAAAATACAGAGACAGTTAAAGACTTAGTCTGATTTGAAGCAGTTTTCTTCATAAACACATCAGGAGTTTCACTCACTGACAGTCAAAGTGGAAGGGTTGCTTCCCATAAAATAAGGCACCTGATACAGAGGCTACCAGATGTGTTGCTCCTCCTCTCTCATGTTAGTAATCGACTTCTTGTATGGCCAAGACTTCAATATTGTCCAAACAGATTTTCTGTTTTTTACAGTAATGCTCTCCCTTTCTGTGCTGCTGTTTCATCAACACAAAATATTTTTTACGTACAATTGCTGCATCGATTCAACAATTCAAACGACCAGCTGTGCCTTCTGGGGCTCCTTGCTAAAGTTTTAACAAATCTTTGGTCCTCATGAGTCAGACGTCACTCGATCCTCTAACCAAACCCAGTCAGAAGCAGTGGGTCATGACTCCTGGTTTTCATTGTCCTTTGGGTTTCGGAAATTACATGGATCAACCTTAGCTTATTTGGTTGGAGTGGTTTAAAACTGTGTTTTTCAAAGTGCGGGCTGTGGCCCCCTGGGGGGGCCGCCAGAGTGTGCTAGGAGGGCCTCAGAAAGCTGGAGAGAAGAAGGTGAAAAAATAAAAAATAAAAATAGTAATAATAATAATAATAAAAATTGCACACTAGGGCAATCTGTATCTGTCATTTCCAGTTAAGCACAACTGAGAGAGAAGTTAGATTTCTTTTGTTCTTCTGGTCAACAGTTTGTTTGTTTGTTTTTCATTAGGAATATAATAGTGTTTAAAACATGTTAGTTAATAACATTTTTATGCTAAGCAGCTGGAATAATTAATTGAATATAGTGAATAAAAGTCAAAACATTCTAAAAGTTGATGTTTGTTTACATATTTTGTAGCATTCCAACAATTTTCAGTCAGGTCATCTGGACAGTTACTTTTTTTTCCTGAAATTTTCACCTTCCATCCAGAAGGCTTCATTGGTCAAAGAAACACACAACACAAAATCGATTCTTTCCCCAAACAGCTTACTCCAAAGTGGAACAAACCAGTTATGTTGGTGCTAAGATGGTGTCTTTGGCACACCCCCTTCTCTGGAGCCGGCCCTCTTCCTCGTCAACAGTCATGTCAAACTGGTTCAAAACCAAAAAAGTCAATAATCCAGGTATACAATCCAACAATTTTCAGTCAGGTCATTTGGACATTTTGTAGCATTGTTTGTGGGTTTGCGAGGGGGGCCTCGGCCAGAAGCTAATGCTGTTTGGGGGCCATGGCATGGACATGTTTGAGAACCCCTGGTTTAAAAGACTGAACTGTACAACAGTTTGTGATTCTCATCCACTGACGCTGAGTATCTGTGAGTTTATGAGAAGTGGCGGTATGCTAAGGATGAAAATTTAGAAGTGCTAGTACTGTGAGTACCAGCTCACTTTGAGCACTGATTCAAAAATAAACTGAAGTTCTGCAGTAGGTTAAAGTCTCTCCTCACCTTGTCTTTCTCCTCTGCAGCTTTCTCTTTGGCCTCCCTGATCTTCTGCTTTTTCGCTTCACTCATCTCAGAGTTTTCATTCGCTTGCTTCTCTTTGTCGAGAGCTGCTTGCTCCGTCTGACAGGACTTGTGGTATGCGACCCGGACCTTCTCCAACTGTTAAAGATACATTCACATGTGTAGTATTAATATTATTCAAACCAGTCTCCATGTCAGAACAGTTCAATATTAGTTTTATGCTAAAAGCAGCAGAACTGAGGGATGTATTCTTGGGCCAGGACTTGGTGTCCTGACAGCCAAGAACAATGAGAAACAAAGGCTTCCAACATGTGGATGTCATGACAGCAGCTTGGTAACTGCTAGCTTAAAACTGTAAATGTGAGCAACAGATAATATTTTTAAAACTTAAAATAAAATTCTTCAGTGAGGATCGGTGTGTGTTGCTTGTCACCCCTGTGTTGATCTGGCTCCTACAAACCTGTCCCCTACTCTAATCACCTCAGGTGTCCTTCATTGTCAATCAAAGGTGTTCCTATATATTCTGTCTTGTCCCCTTCTCACTGTCCGTGGATTGTTCTCCTTCCTTTCATGTTCTGTTCCTGCTCCTCCCGTGATCACCTCCCCACATGTAAGTTTTGCTGCCACGTCAGCCCTTTTTGTTGTGAATAATAAATATCCTTTTCTAATCCACGAGTTCTGTCTGCACCCTGGATTCAACCTCACGCTCAGATAGTGACACGATGTTGAAAAAATCATTAGCATTTTTAAAATAAGGTCTTTGCATGTTAGCAAAATATCCCTTGAACCACTTGACAGACTTAAGTGAATCTCTCAGAAACAAACACAAACGTGCCTATCAGAGCTGGATTTGAAGATATGGAGCTAAAGATGACTGAGGTTGTGGTTTAGAGTCATTCACAACACATACTCTGAGCTCCAACAGGTTGTGTAAGATCTTTAATATTGCACGAGATCGTGAATAAAATTATTTTTTTCTGTTTGACTAAAACAGCTGCAAGTCTGTCACTTCGCAGCATAAGACGTTATGTTGAATTCTGGCAGAAAAGAGGGCAGACAATATGTATTCTTTCAAGAAATGCCAGGCTTTCATTATTATATGAATGTATGAAACTTTTGTACTCGGGTCCTAGTTGTCTGAACAAAAGCAAACTTTTTCTTCAGGCAGTTATGCTGCTACAGTGAACTTTTGTTCCACCTTTCAACACAAAGTTGAAATATCTGCCAAGGCTGCATTAGACTGCAAGTAAAATGTTCAACCACAACATTAAAACTGCTGACAAATTAAACTAATGACAGCGTGTTCGGCTGGGATGTTAATTGAATTTTTGCCGCCTGCTTAAACCTTACTCAAGCCTCCCTCTCACCTAAATAACTAAACTCCCTAGGTGTGGGCCTTTCCTTGCAGCTTCCCCCCCCCCCCCCCCCCAACACACACACACACACACAGCAGCCCAAAGACCCTGAAGTCATATCCCAGTTTAGTTAGAGCATACAAAAAAAAATGCCAAAGCCAGATTCACAAAGACCCAGAAGATCCACAGATTCCACAAGTTATTCCAGTTCTGACTTAATATAATTTAAGGTTGTGGTGGAACAGCTCACATGACTTCTATTAGTCTTTTAAGAATTAGTATTTCAAAATCTTTTTTTTAATTTTTATTTTTTATTTAGTCTTCCTCCAGGCTAGGCTATTGGTTAGCCAAACAAGAGCCCATTTTTATTTTTCAGCCTTATGAAACAACTCTTTCTTTAAAATATCATACTGCTGTTATGTATTAGCTAACTCAGCATTATTTAACATTCTTTAGCTCAAAAAAGCTTTTGATTCACCTGACAGGAAAATAATGATCAAAATTATACGAGCCTATGGTATTCCAGGGGAAAAAAAATAGACCAGGCCATAAACATCATGTTTAACAAATGGTAAATGGACTGTACGTATATAGCACCTTTTTATCTTGTGAAGATACTCAAAATGCTTTACATTACAATCTGTGCCTCATTTACCCATTCATACATCACTCTACTAGATCTATACAAAGACTAATCAGTGCTTCATCACATTCATACACCGATGGGACACACTTCGGAGGCAATGAGGGGTTCGTTGTCTTGCTCAGGGACAATTCAGCATGTGACTGCTGGTGGAATCGAACCCCCAACTCGAACCCCCAATCGCCCTCCAACCTCCCATTGGAGGGCGACGGCTCTAACCACTCAACCACAGCTGCCCTAACAACACATTTGTTGTCTGATGACAGTGAAACAAACTCTTTTGAAGTCCTAGCAGGGGTGCTACAAGGAGAGACCTTGCTCCATACCATTTTATTATCGTGGTGGACTTTGTAATAAGGCGTACCTTACAAGACCATGAACATCTTGTCTTTACGCTCAATAAAACTACTGCCAGGAATCAAAACCATCCAGAAAACGTAATCACTGACAATTTGCAGATGACCTTTGTCTGCTGTCAAACTGTGTCTGAGATGTAAATCTCTTTAACTCGCCTTGAAGCTGCAGCTCAAGAAGTTGGACTACAAATGAATGCCAACAAGACAGAAGTAATGATGTACAATGCTTCTGGGAAACTGAGTGCACTCACAGAAGACCTGAGCAAACAGATGAAGGATTACAGATATCTTGGAGCACGGCTCTCCTCCAGTGAGAAGGAACTAAGTGTCAAAAAAGCTCAGGCTTGGTCAGCAATCGTCAAACTCAATAAAATCTGGCATTCGTCACTCTCAAGGAAACTAAAGATAATGTTCTTTAAGGTAGCAGTTCAAAGAGTTCTTCTATATGGGCCAGAAACATGGTCACATCAAAACACAACAAAAGAGATTAAATGTGTGTTTTACTTGTCTGCTTATACCAGTGGTTCCCAACCCTGGTCCTTGAGGAACACCATCCTGTTTATCCATGTTTTAGTTGTTTCCCTGCTCCAACACATCTGATTCAGTGATTTAATTACTTCCTCGTGTTCTGCAGAAGCCTATTAATTACCCATTAATTAAAATCAGGTGTGTCAGAGCAGAGAAACAACTACAACGTAGCATGGTGTTCCTCAAGGATCACAGTTGGGAATCACTGGGACATGCACTCAGTGTCAAATGGCAATATAAGGTGACAAACAAGGGCCTTTACAAAGACCTCCCAGTATCAGAAGTGATTCAAATTAGATGACTTCATTTTGCTGGTCATTGTTCCAGAGCCAAGAAAGAATGTCTTAGATGGATTTTATTCTGGGAACCAGCACATGGTCCCAGAGGAAGAGGACCAGCAACCTCCTGCATCAACAGGCTGAAGGCTACAGGAATCTCTGTCCCTGACATGGATCGGAGCACATGTCGAGACATATATCAAAGAAATTCAACTACCTAACTAACTTAGCTGTTAGCCTAGCCTGGACAATGGCGTCCATATTTTTTCCCACACTCTGTACAGTATAGGTATTTTTAATTATTTGACAGAACATCTTTAAACATGACCAGCTAATCCTTTAAATGCATATTTATACATGTTCACATTTACGTCTTTGCACAAACAAGCAAGTTACAAATGACAAATCTGTGCTGGACCTTCTGCAGCTTTTTGGACCAGGGTTTCTGCGCTCGTGAAAAACTTGTGCTGTTGTTGTAGCTCTCCTTGAACCCACAGAAGATTTTCTTGGGAAACGTCTCCTTCTGCCAGGTCTTCACCCGCTCGCCTTCTTCTTCGGTGAGCGACTGAGCAATGGAGGAGTGGAGGGCAGACAGACGCTCGGTGGAGGTGAAAAAACACTGCCATGCCCTCATTAGGGAGCCGTAAAGAGGCCCTGGAGGAGCAAAAAATAGAGAAGCACAGCATGTGGAGGTGAGACTACCTACAGGTGATTTTAACCTGATGAGATAAAATGGTCACAATAGTTGAGTAGCTGCGTTTTTAGGTCAGCTGCTTTCTGTTGCTCATACTTACGAGACTCCACAATGGACTTCCACTTGTTGCTCCACTGGCTGAGCTGCTGAGCGTACTGTTTTTCCACCTTTGCTCTCTCCACGAAGCAAGCCATGATGTCATTGCAGGCCTGGAAGGACTGCTCAGTTCGGTGCACAGTACGCACATAGTTTCCCGGCTGCGAGGAAGAATGCAGAACAGATCAAGAACAACGCAGCAGCTGCTGTTTTGTTTAAAATAATAATCTTTACCATCCAGAAGCTCTGTTTCCTGGGATCCTCGGTGGGTTCTTTGCTGCGGCTCGCCATTGTTGGAGATTTTTCTGTCTCAAAAAGCAAATCTGTGTGCGTTATTACAGGTAGTTGTTAAACTGGTTCAGAGACACAACAAGCAATGTCTTTGATTGGCAGATGAGTCGTAATTTGCAACAGGTTTGACATCTATTTGGTGTCATGTGCAGAAACTTCCACCTAATCCCACTCAGTCTTGTCAGAGACCAAAGACATATCAGTCAGAACTGATCCAAGTGTCCCAGGCAGCTTTTTGCATAACACCCTCCGTCCAACGGACATATTATTTACACTGCACAAAGCTCGTACGCCCTCCAAACCTCTCTGCATGAGTGCGGGAACAGTCGTTCCAGTGGCGGACTGGAATTCACAGGGGTGGGACCTGCCAGCAGGAATAGAACAGCTGCTCCAGCATTCTTCCTGTTGCTTTCCCAAAATAAACAGCAGAGAAAAGGTCATCTTTCCCTTTGCTCTGACTAATACAAGACCTATTAGAAACACTGTCTCCAGCTCTGACTCCTCCTGCTGCTCATTTCACTGATCAGGACCAGAAGATTTTCTTCTTTATCTGGCTACAAGTGTGAGATATAAAGGATAACATTAGACATTTTCCCACATCAAGAGCGGCTCACTTCACGAGTGTAAATGAGAAGCAAAAGCCAAGAGATACGTGGACAAACGTGCAAAGGACATTCAGATTCAGGCCTATTTCTGTCTTTGTGTTGACACATCTCTGGATCGCTTCAAGGAAAGTGACTAAACACACCACAAGACTCCGCACTCATCACAAGGCTGAACTTGAGGAGAAGTTTCGGCTTGTATAAGAACTTTTTTTTTCATGCTTACATTAGCCTGTTTTTCCATAAAAAAAGTCCCCTTCTTGTGTGAGCTCCTGCAAGCTGAAACCAAATGAAAGTGCCTGTGGGTTCACACAAAAGTCACTTTTGACTTTATCCTGGTGCGAGAGCACATTTAAAACAGCAGTTTTATTCGCTCACACAAACTTAAATCCTAAAAACTCACAAGCTATGAAGAAATAAACAAATCAGTCATGCCTCGAAGCAACCATCACTTACATTTCTCTCTGAATCACCGATGATTACTCAAGTGATCACTTGTTACTGTAGTTCAAGGGCTGCTGAGGATCCTCTCCATGTCTGCCCCCCACCCCCTCCAACACATGTCCCCCCCCACCTCTTTACTCTCTTGCTGACCCAGTTTTCTCTTGGCGTTTAAAGTTACACACGCATGTTGTTGATCTCGAAGTGGGCGTGGGACAATTCAAGCCACGATCAAACAAATCAAAGCATTTGCACGGCAGTCGCTCTGATTGGCTTCAGGGCAAACGAAGGAAGAGGAAGAAACTCACCTCTGCTGCTCTCCTCCCACATGAGCTGTAATTCTAGTTTTCAGTCATACCCGGATCAACTTCTTGTTCTTTTTTCACTTTAACCTCATAATTTGCCTCTCTAAACTACTTGCTGAGTGCCTTCAGTGTCAGGTTGTTTAGCTTTTCTTGCTCTCTGTGACTATCAGCTCCACTCTGCTCTGTTATTAGAAAAACAGCTGGAGGAATCCCCCCCCACCCCCTTCTTCCCCTCTTCCTGCCCACCCCTCCCTCCGACTCTCTCAATATGGTGCTAATGAGATGCTGAACCATTCATTTTGTCTACTCACATGGCCACAGATTCATGTCAGGGTGGCACGCAGTCATGTGAGCCTGTTAGTGAGTGCATGACAGCAGCAGAGGAGGTACCATCTCTGTGACCCGCCAGTCTCTTTGTTGAAGCCTAGAAAGCACCAAACATTTTTATTTTAGAGCTTGACACACGAGGAGTTTAAGGGTGTCATCCAGAGTTTAGGTCTAATAGCTGCAGCCACTTTCTGGTCTGATATGAGCTGGCAGAGATGGACCACGATGACATGTCACCTTTAAACTTACATGGCAAAAACTTTTGAGGATCCGTTCCTCCAAATCCGAGGCCATGGTCTTGAGCTGGAAAAGGGTAGAGTGCCTCCTCTGGGTCGGGGAGGAGGTCCTGCCCCAAGTGGAGGAGTTTAAGCATCTTGGGGTCTTGTTCACGAATGAGGGAAAAATGGAGCGGGAGATTGATAGTTAGATAGGTGCGGCATCTACAGTGAAGCGGGTGCTGTACCGGTCTGTCGTGGTGAAGAGAGAGCTGAGTCAAAAGGCGAAGCTCTCAATTTACTGGTCGATGTTCCTACCCTTATCTATGGTTAGGATGCCTCCTGGACTCCTCCCTGGTGAGGTGTTCCGGACACGTCCCACCAGGAGGCGACCCAGAGGAAGACCCAGGACACGCTGGAGGGACTATGTTTCTCCGCTAGCCTGGTAACGCCTCGGGATCTCCTAGAGGAGCTGGTCCAAGTGGCTGGGGAGAGGGAAGTCTGGGCCTCCCTACTTATCTGCTACCCCCGCGACCCGACCCGGGGTAAATGGAAGAAAATGGATGGATGGATGGATAGAGTAAAAACCTTTAACCCCATCCATCCAGCACTGGTGTTCTCCAGATGGAGTCTTGCTTTTATTAGCACAGTAAATACATACCAGTATACGAGCAATGCTCTTATTCAACACTTTTTTTGGTCATAATAATCTCTTGGCTAATCATCAAAGTTCCTGCTCAGTAACCCAGGTAGAAAAATCTTTGTTAATACTGATTATTATTACATGCTGTTATTTGATAGAAATATATTTCTGTCAAATAACTTTGATATCTTGAACCACTTTGGCCATGGCTGCCTTAAAAGTGTCAGCGGGGGAGAGGGCGGACTCCAGAAACCATCTTAGCACCATCAAACTGGTTGACCCAAAATGTGAAGATGCTATTTATAAGACTGAGTTTGTTGTGGCTCCTCGGACTGATGAAGTCTTTTGATTGAAAGACGAAACATTTCAACATAAAGAAACCGTCCAGAGGACAAGACTTAACTTTGTTCTTGGCTAATTAGTTATTTTTGTTATTTTCATCAAGTAATTCTCCACTTTGGATCAGTGTTTAGTGTTTCAGTATCAGTAGTTTGGTTTTTTGTATTTTGCTCAATGAAGCATGTGAAAATTTCTTGCTAGCAGCCCTCATACTGCTCAGCACTGTAAAAAGTGTTCACAAACGCAATCATTTGAAGGACCATAATGTTTTTCCCATGTCTAAATGCGCTTGTTTGTTTGTCTCTTGTGTTGGCAACATTTTTTATAAACCCCAGGATATGATTTATTGTTCTGATTTGAATCAATGGGTGATTGACGGGCTTCTGCAGAACATGAAAAGGTGATTCAACCATCCAGTCCGGTGTGGAGCAGGGAAACAAGTAAAACAAGTAGGGTAGTGGTCCTCGAGGACCAGGTTTGGACACCCCTGCAGCAAGTGTTTGAAGGGATTCTCAGCAGACGTGTCTCCCTGTTAACACCGAAAAACAAGCTTTTAAACATGTAATTAAAATGGTAAAACATTTATTTTAACACATATCTTAAGATTTTCCTGAGCAGTTCTTGTACTAAAGTATTCCTCTGAAATCTGTCAGGAGGGGAGTTGTGGAAATATGACAGCAGGAGGAGGAGGAGGAGGAGGAGGAGGGGGGTGATGAGGCCAGTTTGTCCCAGACAGGTCATTTTCACTGTTATACAGGAAGTGCTGCTGTCACCTGTTTTCATTGTCTCAGGCGAATAGGTAGTAAAAATAAATGGTTTACTTTAAATAAAAGGTTAAACAGAAAATGAAAAATGGCAAAGAAAATAAATCACAAGTGCTGCAATTTCTTTGTCTTTAACAAATGTATGCCACCTCTCCCACCGCTTTCAGGGAAGAGAGTTTATCATTTATGCTGTCAGATGCAGTTTCTTCTTACATCAATCTCATCCCGTCAGTCGCACAAACAAAATGCATGAGGTTTGGTTACTTGATTTTTCTGTGGGTCTCATAGAGCTGGTGCCTATCTCCAGTTACCATTGGGCACAAGGTGGGGGACACCCTGGACAGTTTTACGGTCCAATCCACAAAATACAAACAAGACAATCAATAACACTTTAGTCGCACCTAGTAACAAGTTATAGCTGTTAATTAACCTAAAATGCATGTTTTTGGTTAGTGAGAAGAAACCTGAGCACCTGGGGAAACATGCAACTCCAAATAGATTGACCAAACTGGGTTTTGAACTAGCAACCTTCTCACTGTAAAGACAACAGCTCTCACCACTGTTTTGCTATGCAACGTATCAGACATCTGGTTAAACAAAGTCTATTTAAATCAGAATTTACTTGTTTCATGGATTGTTTTGCATGTCACTTTAGTTCAAAGTAGTATCCACAAAATTTACAAATTCATTATTTATAGACAAAGTTTCCTGTTTTAAATTAGTGTACTTGTTTTACCTACATGAACCAAATATGTGAGGTAAAACAGCCTTCCTAAGAGATACAGGTATGTGGTTCATGATTAAATATCTCTTCTGAAACCATCTTGAAGCTCTTGCAGTCAGTCAATGTTACATTAATCTCTATGAACTTATTTCTATGTACCATATTTTTTGCTGTATAAGTCACAGTCTTTTTCCATGAATTAACATGCGTGCGACTTATACAGTGAAGTTACATATTTATGTTTTTCCCCCATATTTTTAACCCAATTTTTGTCTGAGATCTGATGATTTCATTCATTCTGACATGAAAAATATTGAACACTACCATTTACCGATTGATATGGCAAGCCAAACTTCTCATTAATGGGTAAAAGTGGCTATTAATGAGACACATGGCTTGCCATATAAAGCACCTTTATCTCACTTCGGAACTCCTGGAGCAAACGTCAAATCAGCTGCATTTCACCGCCCAGGCGAAATGCAGCTGATTTGACCATTAAAGTTAATTTCTTAATGAAAAGTTCAAGCGAGATAGACCTTTGCTATAATTTAAGCAAATAATTGTTTTTAGTTGGTTATCTTGTTAAATTTCAAAGAAATGCACAGTGAGTCATCGCTCTGCGGCCTCCTGCTTCTGCCTATCGGCTTTTGAAACGCAGCTGATTTGACCATCAAAGTGCATTTATGAAGGAAACGTTCAACTGAGACACACCTCATATAATTTTGGGCAAACAAATAATTGTTTTCAAGTGTGAATCTAGTTAAAGTCTTGTTAAAGTCCTCCCGTGCACGCTCCCGCGGACGTCATTTGGCAGCCAATCGATTTTTTCCAGGTTGTCAGCGGTGACACATAATAGATGCGACTTATACGGCAACGTATCACAAATTTATGTTTTTTTTCAACTTTATTAGACATATTTGAACTGATGCGGCTTATATGGCGGTGCGACGTTTATGGCGGCAAGTATGGTACAAAAAGTGGTCAAGAAAGAAAATTTTATAACAACAGTGTATTTAACATAATTTGTTATTGCTGCTTTTGCAAAAACATTATTGTCCAGTATTGTCCGTACCATGCAGGATCCTACATGGTACAATGTACATGGTATCCTACAAAATATTTTTCATTATTTGCTGTCACCATGACTGTTTTCTGTCATGGTGACAGCAAATAATGAAAAACATTTTGACAAAATTGTAATTGTAAATCATTAGCTTATAGAAAGTCTGTTCTTTATTGTCCGATTTCTTTAACATCGACTATAAATGCCCTGCATTAATGAACTTTGTTCTTAAAGATGTACTCAACACACATCATTCGGATGATTTCAAGTCATGTGACAAAATGTGAAAGTTCTTAAACTTGTAGTAATTCTGAGAAACACTAAAATCATAATATTGATGGCAACGCCAGGACTTGAGCCTTTGTGATAGAGGACCGAAGCTGCGGCGACAGCACATGATGTGGTTTAAAATCAACTTAAAGATGTCAGATCACATAAAATACTAGCAACAAAGCATCTTTTTAAAATTGTGTTTAACCAGGTCCTGAGATCACAGATCTCTTTTGCAAGGGAGGCCTGGGCCTGAAGGGTCCGTGTAGCAGTTTGTTTTTTCGTTTGAAACAAAAAATTAAAAAAACAAAACTGTTTTTTGTTTATTAAACAAAAATGACAAATCGGATAATGAAGCGTCATCCGATCCAAACTCCACACAGAAAGACCCAAGGTCCAAAGCAAGGGTTTGAACCCATATCCTTCTTGCTGTGAGGCAACAATGCTAACCACTAATCCATCGTGCTGCCTTTAAAGAACCCTGTGCAAGCGGTATATATTGCAACACATGTAAGGGATTCTTTGTGGAAGTGTTTCTTCTCTTTGAAAAAACAAAAATTATCACGTGGCTTCATCATTTCAAGGAAAAATAGTCTGTCAGTTTGCTAAACAAAACACAAAACCTGGACAACTGGCATCCCAAACATGAAAGCAAAAGACTATTTACAATTCACTAAACTGACCACCATGATAGCAACCCATGTTGAACTAATTCACATCTATGATGTTTCTGATTGTTTCTCATGCCTTGCAGTTGTGTTCGAGTTTCCTGCAGCAGTGCATCGATGGGCTGCTTCAAGTTAATCCATCTCATCCTCTTCCTGCGTGTGAGCTCCAAACGTTTGCACAATTAACTCGCCAAAAACTGTCCTGTCCTCCTGCAAACAATGCTGTATACAACCACCGCAAGGCTGAGGCAAGCTGCTGCCAAATAACTCGATTCAAACGCAGCTCTTCAGACTGAATCGTGTGAAAGTGTCGGTGGAAGAAATCCAAGGAGAAATGAGAACGGTAGCAGAGCCGTAGTTTATTTGAGCATTAATTTCAACACCTTAGTTGTAGCTCTATCATATTTATCAGTATATACTGTATTTTATTCAAAACAAAAATTATATATGTATAAATTTATATGTTCATATATATATATACATATATATATACTTTTAATCTCTGCAAACTTATGCTATGTAGTTATATTCAATATGTATTTTACTAGACCTAAAATACTCTTAACTCATAGTTTGTAATGCTTTCTACACTACTGCTCCATCTTTATTCACCTCTGAGAAAAGCATGAGACTACAGAGTCATAGTTTGAGGTCAGCACGGAGAAAATCTGCATTAAGTCATAAAATAACGGGTCGGTTTCACTCATGTCAACACAAGGCAAGCAGTATAGAAAGCATTTACAAAAAAGGAAACAAAAGTTAAACAAAACCTCAATTTGTCCACACAATTTGGAAGACAGAGATTCCTAAAAAATTTAAATACTTAATATAATCATCTTTATTGTACTATATTTTGCTATCGTCGCTGTCATTGTCTTCTTTACATACAGAGCTTTGAATTATGCTTTTTTGTTTTGCGTCAGAGTTGAATCCATGGCTGTACTGGCGTGAAAAAATAAAAACCCAACACGTTTGATTATATGCAACACATACAGCAGTTTTAGACTGATCACAACGAGATGTTGTTGAGTGGATAAGAGCATTTCATTGAATGGAATAAAACGTAGAACAGTGAAACGTGATTGTCAACTGGTGAAAAATCAGAACAAACATAAAAAAAAAAAAACGATAGAAGATTATGGATATGTTCAGGGAAAAGGCATTAGAGAGAGAAAGTTTAGGTAAATAGAAGCATTTGACTAAAAAAATACTTAATTGGATGCGTTGACTCCCAGAGGCAGAAAGAAGTCAGGCAAAAACAAAATCTGTAAAAAGCCCTTTTTGATCACTGCATCTATGTGAACGGTCAACATTATGGCATTAAAGAGAAAAAAATCAGTCCCTCGCCCTGTACTTTTGCCAAAAACAAGCTATAAACCCTTAGAAAATATGCTAACGACTTTGTGAACCAGCCCACTTTGAAATGTCCTCTGGCTTCTTGGGAGAGTTCTGAAGTTCATAAAAAAAAAAAAAGATTTTCTAAATATTTTTATGTCTTTTTATCCACAATGTAAATTCTGTATATAAATACCCTGACCAGTTTTATCTGAATGATTGCTATCAGCACTTAGTACAAAACAAATGGTTTTACTAATAGTGAATCTCGTTTAACATGTAATATATATTTAGCGCTCGCAAGTACAAACATACAAAGCTTATTGGGGCATCCTTTGGGGAAATATGGCAGATACATATACTTATATGTATACAAACAATACTATTCATGTCTAGTGATTTTTTTCTATCATAATTTATAAACAAAACCATTTTCTTCACAGTTTCAATCAGATTTTGGCTCCAATAGTAATACTCTGATCTGCTTTAAGCTACAAAACAGATGTTAAATTGTGCCTTTCGTGTCTCTATTTTCAGTAGTCTCTGGTTCAGCAACAATATATAAATCTTTAATTGGGCTAAAGCCCAATTAAAGATTAGCCTTTAGGCAGCAATTTGTCTGTTAGTCTTTAAACTCAGACTTAAGTTTTCTTGTTGCTGCTCAACGGCAGATGGTGTGAGAATCCATCTGTCACGTTGCGTGAAACTATGAGTGCAAGCAAGGACGTGTGTTTATTCTTTTACAGCACAAAACAGTGTTAATAAAATTTCTGCCTGTCAAAAGTTTCAAGTATATTTTTACTTGATAAGCATCAATCTTAAGACATTTTTACTTTCTTCATACTCATTCCACAAGTTTCACAACATTAATTTCTATTTTTATAGCAAACCTCCTGCACACGCCTTAGACTTATTTAAACACAATCTGCTGATGTCCACTGTTCATCTCTTGCAATTCTTCAGTTATAGTTCATCTTTGTCAATTTGTTTATATCCATTTTTTTGTCATCTTTGAATCAGTCCTTCACTCTCTCAGTCTGTGTCTCGAGGAGAAGTTGTGACATGCAAAGGAGAGGAGAGACGCCTGGGGAGAAAAGGAGGCCAAATCAAAAATAAGTATGGGTGTGTTTGAAAATATGATTGTGTTGAAAAAATGCAGGTTAATAAGGAGAAGGAAAAACTGATGGAGCATTATTAGGAGAACTTGTCATATTATGTGTATCTAATGAAAGATGAGTACGGTCGAGCTAACTTGAATGAAAGTAATGAGACACTTTGACTTTCCTTCACCATCCAGTGCTTCCTTTTGGACCATTTGACCCAGTTGCCACAACATCCTCCAGAGCCTGTTTTTGTCCTCCCTCACCTGTCAGTGAGTTTCTTAAGGGCCCTCTCGATGTTCATTCGATGTCCTACACGTGTAACTCCCAGATCCAAGAAGTCATCTTTTGTAAGTGAAGGCAGATGAGATCCATCTATCTCATTGTCTATAAAATGCTCTGTGTGTTCACCCAGATTTAGATAAGCCAACCAGTCGGCCACATCGTACTTGGTCCAGTAGGGTAGAGGTTTGATGGCAAATGGTTTGGCTGGTGGAGCAGGGCTGAGCTGTGGATAGTTCAGACATGAAGGGCTGGGAGGTAGATGCATAGGGGTGGAGGCTCCAGAGAGAAAATGAGTGGGGGAGAGAGAGTGTGAGAAAAGTATGGGGTTTGGACTTTGCACAGCATTTGGAGAGTACAGTGGAGGAGTTGAAGCATAGTAAGGATCTCCAAGAGGAAGGCCAGAGGATGGAGGAGTGAGGGGTCCAGGAAAGTCAAAGGGGTTGTTGTAGGCAGGTGTAGAGGGAAGGATAGGGAGAGATGAGGGTCTGGGAGGAGTGGGATTTGGCTGTTCAGTGTTATAGATGAGAGGGCTGGGAGCCCGACGTCTGGCAACTGAAGATCGCATCTCCTTAGTGGGACTGCATTGAAAATCAAAAGTCTGCCTGCGCATCTTAGACCTGTGCTTAGGTGATGTTGGGTATGGGCAGTAGGTTGGAGAATGGGGAGGATGTGACTGTACCGGGGAGGTAGGCATCTGTGGAGAAGGAGATCTGGTCCAATTGCGCTGAACTGGAACTTGAGGAGAAGGTGAGACAGAAGGGGTAGCAGAAAGGTTGGGTGTCTGAATTTGACGATGCTGTGGAGATGAGGTGGGTAGTGGCGAAGTGGAGCGGCCAGTTGGTGGGCTGTGAAAGGCGTCAGTATAATCTGCTGAATATCTGAAAGATACAAAATGGACCTTAAATTGACATTACCCCATTACTAACAAGCATTCAGAGTTCACGTTTAAAAATACAAATCCCAGTGCATAAAACGTTGTCACATTTGATGGCACTATTTGCATATTGTAACTAAATGAATAGTTCATACCTACCCTCAAGCTACCCTGATAGTAAAAACATTTGCAATTGATAATACAAAACACATCTAACAATGTAGAAACTAAGTAGAAAGAAGAGGTTCTTGCAAATGCTATCTTTAGAACTAAATTGCCAAATTAAAAAAAGACAATTCTATTTTACACAACAGTACCACACTGTAAGCATTTATTTTCTGAATCTTAAAATGCATTTGTTCCAACATAGCATTTGTACTAACCTGTGCAAGGTAGGTGACTTTGGTGAGTGACTCCAATCATCCATGCTCCTCATGCTACCCATCTGTTGCAACTTTGAACTTAGCTCATTGATTATGCTGGCTTTTACACCAGAGAAAGGGGAGGGAATTCTGCGGCCTTCCAAAACCATACTTCCACTTTGAACTTCACCTTGCTCGTGTTCACCAATGTCACTCCAGACTAATGAACGAGACTCAATGGGCCTCTCTAGGCAAGCAGCTAGGGTGGAGCTAAAGCCGTCATCCATTTTGGATCGACTCTGCTTGTGCTTCTTTTCATCCATGTGAGCTCTACCTAAACTAGCATCTTCTGGGTTGCTTTGTTTCTGCAACTGCAAAGGTGCAGGGTTGGTGCTGCATTGCCGACGTAGTGCTATAGTTGGGCCCCTCCCTTCCACCTCCTTATAATGCGTCATCTTTGGAAACACAGGGTTTACCAGTTTGGTGCAGTGCACCTCAAATGCTTGCCCTCTTGAGTAGGTTGTGCAAGGATCCTGATGTTGACCCCCTTTTCCTCTATCTCCCCCAACCCCTCCTTTGTCTCTTCTCAACCCACTCAATCCCAGCATTTCTAAATGGTGATCACTACTGCTATGACTGTCCAGCTCCTCAATTCCAGAATCTACCACACCATCTTGCCAGTCTCCAGTCTTGGATGCAACTATGGTGTGATGAGAGATGTCAGCAACTTTACCCCCTGTACTGAGGCCACCCTTGTGTCCTGTTACAGTCATACTGTAATCAGATGATGCTAGAGAGGTTGTAGTAGTTGTAGCAGCTGCGGTTGCAGTCATAGTAGTTGTAGCATAGGTCATGGTAGTTGTAAGAGTGGCTGTGCCTCTATCCTGGGTTGGAGCTTGAGCACTTACTAAGGGATCACTAGAGCTGCTGTAATAAGGGTGGGAAAGGGACATGGGCTGGGGTCTGTGTACAGATGTGCTGGGCAGGGAAACAACTGAGCTAGTAGTGTCCATGGTGGAAGATGGGATAAATATTTGTGATGATGGATAAGATGGTGAGAAAGCTGATTGTGTAAGGTTGGCCACTTCGCTGTCATAGGATGTAAGGCTAGAGGCAGCAGAGTCACCACCTTGCGAAGTAGGTTGGGTAGCATTTGAGGGCTTGGGAGGTGAAACAGAAGGTGGGGGTGGTGAAGCAGCAGAAGCAGAGTGATGACTATGAAGCTGATAATGATGAGGAAAATCCTGCATTCTTTCATTCTTACCATTAGCAAACTGTAGAGGAGGGGGCAAGGGATCTGCAAAAACAAACTCTTCATCTGCATCTATTGAAGGAGTTGGTGGAGGTAAAACCATTAGTCCTAGACCACCTGCCCCAGCTCTTGGCTGTCCCATACCATCATTTATCTGTGATGGTGCTGTGGGTACAGTGTACTGAGGAATATAGCTGGTGTTGGGAGTGTTTTCCATCTGCAAATAGGAAGGCCTGCGAGGAGCAGGTTGAGCTGGGGGAGGAGGAGGCTGAATAGGTGGTGCAGGTTTGATGTCATACATCTCCCTTTCTCTTTCTCTGGTGTTTTGTGGGTAATACTGAGTTGAGAACTGGCTGTTTCTGTCCTCCGAAAAACGAACTCTAAGACCCTCTCGAGGTCCTCCTTCCTTTTCTCTCTCTATTCTTTCGCCACCTCCTCCTCCCAAACGTAAAATTCTTGGTGACTGTGGTCGACTTAAAGATGCAGGTGAGGTGGTTGTAGACGGGGAATTAAGGTGAAGAGAAACTGGAGAATTGTATGCTGATTGCGTTGGGGTTGCAAAAAGCGAAGGAGCTGGGGTTTGAACAGGTGTGGGAAAGGATCCAACTGTAGACAACTGCCGACCAAACTGTCTGTCCTCTCTGCGTGTTCTGCGGTCATCTTTTAAGGCTCGTTCTCTCGCAGCTAGGGCCAGGCCAAGTGGGGATGAGGGGTCCAGAACTTTCCCTGTAAGTGGGTGAATGAAAGTAGTGGCAGGCTGGGCACCGTACACTGAAGGAGCTGACTTGGGCTGTCCATCCTGACTGAGTATAGGAGAAGAGTACTCTGGAAGTCCAAACGCTGGGGGCATGCTGCTGGAATAGTTCATGTGGTAATCTCCAGAAAACATGCCCTCATCTATGGACTTGGAAGGGCGAAGTCGAGGGGTAGGTACTTCCATTTGTGAACCTTGTAAAGGCTGAATTTGTGCCCCTAAAACTCCTCCCCCATCTCCGGTTCCACCTCCTGCTTCCCCTTGGATGTCCTCCTCAGATGATAAGAAGAAAGAGGCACTTTTTCTTCTTATATCTTTTAAACGTTCTCTTTCCTTGCGTGGCCCTCCTCCAAATGCTGTACCAAATGTTGGTGTATATTCCAACTTATCCATGTTTTGCTGTGAAGAAACAGAAGGGGCAACAGTTGATGAAGGCAAGGACGTAGATGTGGATGGCTGAGGTGGTGAGGAGGTGAGTGGTGAAGGCAAACTTGCACTGGAGTTGTCAGAGGCTGCTTCTCTAGAGGTTTGGTCCTCTGCATCCTGAGATGGCTCAGCTTCCATACTACTCCCTTGGCTGCTTCGACCACTGCTGCTAGTGGAGGGTGCTTTGACAATGATGGTGGGAATGGGTATGGAGCTCTTCTCTTTAGTTGCACTTCCTTTTCCTCGATGTTGCCTTAGCCCATCTTCCACTTTAGACTGCTTAATCAAAGCTCCACGACCACCCCGCCTTCCCATTCCTCTTCCAGCCCCTCCACCCTGTTCCCGGTTGGGCAAATGTGGAGGATGTTGTTGTGCCTGTTGAGGCTTAGGTTTTGCACTTGTTGGTGGTGTAGCGCTGCTGTAGCCTCGCCTCAGCCCTCCCATCTTGCCACCACCTCTCCTAGGTGCTTCAGGCTCTCTAATGCAAAGTCCATCTGATTGCCTGCGGAGCGTGGGGACCATGGTCTGCTGGTTTATCCCACTAGGTCCTCCCCTTTCCCAAGGAACTTGAGTAGGATGCCCTGGTTGTGAGTGGAACTGGTAGTGCGCTTGAGATGTGGGGGGGATTTGCATTGCAGGGCCTCGGCCAGAATAAGGCCCTGCAGATAAAGGTGGCTCTGGGGCAGATGTGTTAGGGGGTGGGGGGATATCTTCTGGTCCTGGCACAGAAAGGCTGCGGGCCAGCTTCATAGGTGGGTGAAGGTACTGCCGCTCCTCCTCTGTTACACCTGAGCACAAATTTACAAGCATCATCAAACAAACAAGTAAATAAAATATGTATATTTAGGCTGGACAAAGTTCTTAATGCTAGCTGCAGTTACCGATAGATTTTTGTCGCATCATGACTGCATGCTGAGGACCATGGCCTGGTTGAAAATGAGCTTGATTGTAGCCAAAACTGGATCCAGTTTGGACAATGCTCGCTGATGACTGCTGCTCGTAGGGTTGCTTCAAGTGTTTAAACACAATTTACAAAGAATCAGCAAAGCATTTGTATAAATATAAATAAATGTCACTTGAGATTAAGTCGATTTTGCATATTATAATGCAAAAGGACCAGTCAGTCTTTGTGCTGGTGTAACAGGCCTAGCATAAATGAATGGAGCCAACCTGACTCACACCTAAACACATGTTTTCACGTGGGTGGTTCATTGCCAATCATTTTCTCTAAAGTGCAGTGAGGGCAGGAGAACATGCAGAGCTTTAAAAAAAAAATGACCTAAACTCTAAGTTGTCTTGTAGAAAGGCATGGCTTTAGCCAGCATTAGTCACTTCCATGACTAAATATGAACTATGTCTTGATGTAGCGGATATAGAAGAGGGGGTTGTTTTTTAGCACTGCAGGAACATTGATGCATGGCTATTAAACATTGCTAATGTTTTGTGCCTAACTATCCATTTGAATACTTATTTATAACAATGACTATATAGGTAGGACTATTTCTCAACAATACCTCATTGGAGCTGTTGGGAACAGTACTCTTGCTTCGATCTCTCTTGCCTCCATGACCTCTCTGGCCCTGGTTGTCTGATATAATAGTGTGTTGAGCAGCAGCCAAAATTTCATCCAGTTTGTCTAGTGCACAGAAAGAGCATGAAGATCAAACAGGAAATGTGGGAAAATGAAAATAGAAATGCATAAACTAAATTGATAAATTTCCCTTTCATTTTAATCACCCCCCTCTCATATAACAAAAACTGTGGGAAAAGATTCTTACTTAACGCCATCTGATAAACTGTCCTCTTCTTATCAGGACCCTGAGAGGACTCGTAATCTGGAAAAAAAGCACCAAACAACTTGCAATTAAAGCTCAGGGGCTGATGTGAGCAATGATAAAGTCTGATATTCACCTGCTTTCTTTTTCCACGGTGAGGCAGCTGCTGCATACATGATTCAGGAAACATGGATTAGGTGTGACTAGAACAGTTACAAAGTCCCGTGTATAAAGCAGATGAAAGGGTGAAATACATACGTAGACACATGTAATGGTGTGAATGTTGATGTGATGACAGGGATGGTGATGGGGACAGAAATGATCATGAGAGTACAAAAATCCATTCTCCCACCTTTGTCCACTGTATGCAGCAGATTTGGTCCAACAAAAGAGGGACATGAGAGAGAACTCTTTGTGATTAACAGAATTGGACAAGTATCAGAAGACAACATGATACCGCTTTTATACCTTTTAACCTCACTGTTTAATTATCGCCTTTTTCCCCCACAGATAACATCAATGTGCAAATGAGTCAAAGACTGTCACTAGCCAGCTAAGAAGAATTCAAATCACACTTTACTGAAGCTTTTTTTAATTTTTAATTTACATAAACTGGTGATTTTTATCACCAGCTGCAGAAGGTGAAGGTGGAGCGATTATGTTTTTGCCTGTGAATGTGTGTGTCTATACCCTTATCAAGATAGCTCATGAACAAGAAGATGATTTTAAATGCAAGTTTTAGAAAGGAACCAATAGACGAACATCTACAACTGATTAACATTTAGAATCAGTCCCATTCAAGATGGCGGCCACAGCTAGGCAATCTTAGTAATCACAAAAATGGCTACGACTCAGAATTTAACAGTAACAGAGCTCAGTGGATGTAGTTGATGTCCATCATCGCCAATACAAAATTTGAGAAATACCTTAGTTGTATTAAACACAGAGTGTTATCATTTTACCTAAAACTTTGGCAATAATTGTTGGCAACTCTGTCTGTTAGCAAAATATCTCATGAACTAGTAAACCAATCTTAATGAAACTGTCAGAAAGTAAAGTACCAGTCATTGTGTGTACATATGTAACTGATTAACTTTTGCAGTCACTCTAATTAAAGATGGCTGCTATAGCTAATGAACCTTATCCAACACAACAATGGCTATACCTCAGTTAATTTTACAAATACTGAGCTAAGGCTTGATGTGGTAGTAGCTGCGAATCACAACTCCAAGCACTAATTCATTCCACATGAATTTGTATTATTGCATGATATTACACATAACATTATTTTCAAGATTTGACCAAATGGGTATAACTCCAGTCTTTCTCAAAATAAGATGATCTTAGACCAACTCTCTGGTGAGAAAGGCAGAGATATGCGTTGGGAATGCTACACCTTTTTTATTATGGCTGTGTTTCTCAGAGTTATTGCCATCGTTCCAATCTTCACCCTCTTTCTGTCGTCTTACCCATGTCTTCCAGCTCTGATGTCATTGACTTGGAGCGCAGGGTGATGGCAGGAGGAGTCAGTCTTTTAGTCTGCTGCGGAGCTGCCAAGGGAAGCCAGCCAAATGTTGATTTCATGTTTAGGGTTCTTGTATACACACGCAGTCACCATTGACAACCACATTTCAACAGACATTTAGATTAAAGTAAACGTGCAGTCAGCAGCGTCGCCATATCAGAAACACACTCACAGGGAAAATGCAACTCTTACCTCTCTTCCGAGCAGTGTCCTCAAGTTCAGGGTTACGGGCAACCATCACAACTTTCACCATGAGACTGTTGCCACCCTGCCGAATCATGTTGACCACCTGCCGATGACCAACCTTTACAACATTCTGTCCGTTCACCTGACAGGCACAACAAACACCAAATGAGCTCATGTCTTTCAATGGGGGATGAAACATTTCTCACTTAAAGAAACTGGTCCAGATGACACGATTTAACCGTTTTTGTTGTTATCTACCTGGATGATTGAGCTTACAACCCTTTTTCCCATTCATAGGAAAGAAGTAGGAACTTCATTTTATTTGGAAGAGGATTTTTTTTTTTTCATTTTAAGAACATGATCTTTGCACATTGTTGAGCAGGTGCACATGTGGTTTAGATGACGACTAAAGTAAATCACTTATACAAAAGCTCAGGCACCTACATAAGTGACTCATATTAGGCTGAATACCAATTAGACGTATGTGTCAGTTTAAATAGAGGCTTGACTATCACCCCTTTTCAGAAAGGACTTTTCAAGACAGCGTGAAGGAACTTTTAGGTACAAAATTACCATAGAGTTACTTTTGCCTGCTAGAAACAAAGTGCAATGAAAGTATTTCCTTAAAGATACAGTAACGGTCAACATATAATTGTATGTACAGTACACGTATTTTAACAGCACCACATTTTTTCATCCTGTTCGGTCTTTTTTTTTGTCTAAGTTTTAGTATTTGCTTTTACAGTCTCATAGGACATGAGAAGACGGGTGGCAATGAGTGTGTGGGCAGCAGAGAAAGCATTACCTAATTTGTAAAACAGATAGGGCCTATTTTAGTGCAGGAGTGTGGATGTAAATTTACTGAATAAACGTCTGGATAGATGGAACAATTAACACAAATTGGTAGATATGTACTTGTGTGTCATTTGAATGTAAGGTTTGTCTAAATTTGGTCGTCATCCCTGCTGACATGCAGCAGGCAGAAAATATTGTTTTTACCTGTGTGTGTGTTTGTCTGTTAGCAAAATATCTCATAAACCACTGAATATATTTTGATCAGACTCTCAGAAAGTAATAATCGGATGCTCATCTACAATTGATTAGCCCTTTGAAATGAAACCAAATTAAAATGGCTGCTACAGACAACTGAATTTCAAAACGCAAAATTGACTACAAGTGATTTTTACAGTTATTAAGTTGGCATTAAGTACAGTTATTATACAGTTATTAAGCTAAAAATGAATGTGGTAGTAGGTGGGAATCATTCACAACATGTGCTTTGAGTGCTAACACATCTCACAATATTACATGATATTGTGCATAATGTTATATTCAGGATTTTATGCATGCAGATTTAACTCTGTCATTTCTCAACATAGGATAATCCTTGTTTAAACTCTGGCAAAAGGCAAAGAGTAATATGCATTTCTTCAAGGGATTAAAGATTTTTAATTATTGAACATATTTTTGAGATATTAGTCATTAGCCGGTGTGAAACCCAATTTACCTCAATGAGGAAATCCCCCATCCTAAGGCCTGCTCTCCATGCCACGCCCCCTTCATCCACAGACTCCAGGTACTGCAGCGCAGGGAAGGCCGGCGTCGGAGTGAACTCCTCTATGGGAGTTTGAGCTGTAGGGTTATGTTCACGGGGTCATACATCCAGTTATTAACTAGAGCATTGATTTGGCTTAGGATACGGTGAGTACTCGAAAAACAAACTCAAGGAACGAAATAAGAAAAATAAATGAATATATCCTGCACCGTATATGGTAACATTTAGTGGAAATGCTTACCTTTGGCTCCTCTGAGAACAAAGCCAAAGCCTTCATTGTCTTTCTTCTGTAGGAGCACTGTCTTCTCCTTAATGATGTAGTCACTGTAAGGAGGAAGGAACGTTTAGAGGAAAAACTCGGGATGAAGATAAAAAAAGACAGAGAGAAAAAAGACAGGGAGAGGAAGAGAACTACATGAATTTTTATACTAATTTAAATACTAAGAAACATCGTATTGACATGCAAATAACAGTCTCTCTCTGTGACAAACAGCTATACTGCATCACCTTATGATATCACACTGCAGCAAAAGATAGGTTGGCTTCAGATTACCATAGGAAAGACGTTGGTGCACAAAGGGGTTGATGGCAGGGGCACAGTCAGAGCCATAATGGGAGGATTTGTATGTGAGATGACTTTCCAAACTAAAGACTGATCCAGCGAGAAAAATGTGTGCATGCACTGATACTGGAAACTTCCAAATGCACCTAAATCGCTGCATTAGCTTTCACTGCCTCTGGCAGCTTTTGCAAGGATACTGCTTCACCGACACCTAAGCACCACTACTGGTCATACATGACACTTCAAATTATGTAGAAGATGAAGTCAGACATGCTTCTGATCCCACCTCCACACAAACGCATCCTTATACTCGAAGCCTGCAGCCTGAGAGGACAGAAGCAGTGGTCACAGATAATGGTGTTGCAATCTTAATAATTACAAGAAGTTTGGATTAGTGGCAGGGGAAGCTCCTGCGTTATTTTATTACCATGTCTGAAATCTTTTTAGCCAGGCTCCTTTCCTCTAATGTAGCACCAGCTAAATTGACGCCACACGGTCACACAAAGCCTCATCTCATAACTCACTCCTGGATTTGACTTTCCAACAATGTCAATTCATTGACTCTTTCAAAAAGCCCAAGGCTCGAGAAGAACTTTGCTTTCCAAGAATTCCCGATATGTATTTTACAGACAGCTCATGTCTGAGTTAGATGGTGCTCATTGATTTAACTGAGATGAAAATTCAAGCTAATATTTAGTCAAAATATTTGATTTCACACAAAAAGCTGGAATAAAAGCAAAAACAATAAATGGACTTCACATAAACAATAGAGTCTCGGCATATATTCAAGGACATCCTTTCTATACCTCTACAATATAAAGTTGGGTGTGGATTCAAACTAAATTAATGAGGAGCCTGCAGGGGTGTTTCTAAGGGGTGGCACAAAGTGGCAACTGCTATTGGAATAACATACCTTGCCACCCTATTAATAAATCTTTTATATTTTGCAAGATATCGAAAGTCAAAAACTTCTCCACCGAAATTTAAGCTCTTTTCTATCTCACTGATTTAAAATTTGCACACACCCATCTCTAATTTCAAAAAGGTTTCACCCTCCAACAGACTAGTAAATTTTACCAGCAGAGTTTAAGATCAAAGTGTTTGAACAATGGTTTAACAAAAACAACTGATAGTGAGTTATTAAATCTGAAAAAAAACATGAAGTTGCTGACTGATAAGTGTTGACTTGTGTCATTTGTAGTCATAGATAAATAACCTAAATGCATTAATTTAGGTAATTAATGTTGCACTTTCAACAACATAGGGTCAAATAGTGGCACTGTAGGTGGTAAACGTTGTAGACTATCTGTCTTCTCTTGTTGGGAGTTGAAGCCAGCAGGATCTTGCTTACAGGAGCTGTCAAGTTGTAGTCCCTAACCCTAACCTGAGGTGTTTTTATGCATTTTATGTTTTACCAAAAACAAATTTCTGTCTGCTTATATAGAAAGTGCGAGGCTTCAAAGCTGCACTGGGACCAGTCTGTGGGAAAGGTTGGTCCCGTTCTGGCTTCAGCTTCCAGGTTCCAGTTGGAAATCTACATACATGTTGTTTGAATGGCACTGAGTATACTGTAGCGTAAAGTTAAACACATTTTTTGACAGTCCTTGAAGTACGTTCTGCAGCAATAGTATGTAATTACATGTAAACAATGAAATACCAGCATTTCATTCAGTTTTAAGACATGCCTGTAAGGGTTATATTACTCCAACTCCATACTGCATTCAACTCTGAAACGCCTACTGGTATATAAAAAACCTCAAATAGAATATTACTATGATCCACACACTCCTACAGAACAAATTCTGGCCATGCAGACTGAAACATTTTGGCAGTTGAATTTCAGAGGTACAGCAGAGTCATGAGAGCGTCGGCCTGCAAAGCCTGAAGACCCAGACTTCATCGTCGAGCCGTAACTTTAGCACTGAACAGACGATCTCTGGTTTCCCTCACTGAGGTCCATTTCTCGTGTGTTCTCCATCAACGTTACTGTTTCGCCAACGCTCAGCCGCCTTCCAGCCATCTGCTCCTCACACCTCGGTCCTTTTTCTCTCACCCTGTCCTCCATCATGCTTTCCCTCTCTGAGGATCAAAGTAACATAGAGTGGGTGGACAGATCCACCGGGCTTTTTATCTGTCCATTTGTTGGTTCCTGGGGGGGGGGTCTTAGCAGCATGTCATGTTCAAAGTAAAACATCTGACTTCCTTAAAACTTGTGCGTCCCCACAGTGAAGCTCAAGGCCAAATAGAAACACAAAAAGCCCAAATGTCTGGTTAATCTCTGTTGCCTACTGGGTTGTGTTCTCTGGGAACTGGCCGCAGTGAAGCTGGCGACTGGAGTTATCGTGTACCCTCCTGAGTCATCCTTTCTTCTATTCACAATCACTGAGAGGAAAAAAAGGCGGCTTTTTAACCATTCACCTGCCGAATGCACAATCAGACGGATCGGCTGTGCGGGGGCATTACGGACACACAATAAGTGAAGCAGCTGACAGATGTTACAGACTCACACTGTGAACCGAGCACAGGAGAGACACTCCCACAACAAGCACTACATGACCTAAAAGCACACATTTTATTCAGTGTATAAAGTTAAATGAACATTTATAAAAAAGGATAACATGCATACAGATTCAGACATGTACAGTATTTCAAATTACTGCTCAAAGGAACGGATAAATTGCACTCCATTTTCCTCCGTCTCCACAGTCAAACCACACATTTTTAGTGACGGGTGAAGCAAGCACCGGACATGAATGTTGTGTTTTCAGCAGAACAGGTATATAAACGAGAACATAGCTGCAAGAATGGAAATATGACTCAAAGAGAATGAAATACACCCACACTGTCTGACTGAGATGCATCAATATGTGTTTTCTTTCATGCACTAACACACAGCAGCGAGAAAACAGCATGAGGACAGAGAAATAATAAAACATGCTGCAGAGAAAGACTCCATTCACTTGACGTTCTATCCTACGGAGATGCACATGCATATGAAAAAACGCAGATTTTAAGACCCACGCACGTATTCACACACTCAGGGACACACACACATATATAGCTTGTTAGTCTGGCTTTGAAAAGGCACGGCCTCTCAATAGCATCATCTACCTCTCCCCTCTCTCCATTGTCCTCTCCTCACATCCATAGCCAGCCAATGAATGAGGAAACAGCCGCTACCTGTAAATGAACCACACGCTCCTGTTTCTGGGGCCCAGTGATGGCCACGAAGAAGAGAGGGAGAGAGAGAAATCTCTCTCTCCGCATCCCCCCATTGCCATGTCCCCCCCTCCTCTCTCTCGCACGCACTATCCACCACCTCCTCCTCCTCCCTCCTCCTCTTCCTCCCCGTCTTCCAGCGAAAGCACGAGCACGCGCGCGAGTGTGTGACAGTCTGCAACCGGCGTACTTCAGACAAGAGGAAGATAATGTGAGAGAAGGATGGAGAGAAGGGAAGTTTATTGCAAACAAGAGACAGTATGTGGTGTGTGCAAGGGTTTGGTTGCAACAATGGAGATGGAGAACTGACTTTGAGGGGTGGGGGATGCTGGGGGATGGGTATACATGTAAGTGAGCACTCGCAATTTGAACATCCACAAACTGGTGTGTCATGTTATGTCACAGCTGATTCTCACCCTGAATTTTCTCACGCACACGCACATTTGCCAACTTCTCTCTCCCTCCGTCATCTTCCTTCAAACAGAGCTGCCAACGCCACACTCTTGTCTAGCAATCACTCACTCCTCTCTCTTTACTGCATCTCTCTGTGAAATAGTCACTGACTTTCTCCAGAACGCCAGAGGAACGTGCTCAAGATCACCGTGTTCCCAACTGAGCACCATTTTGCCGTTAAAGCAGCCTACCAGTCCTTGAAGGGATGCATATTGCCCGCCACCTTTCACGCCAGAATTTTAGACTAAGAACTTTTTTTTTTTAAGAGATGACAAAGTTTTTGGTGCTTTGGTTAAACCTAGAAAATAACATTATGAATATTCTCATGCAATAATGTGAGCTCTTGCATGATATGGCAACGCCAATGCTTATATGTGTTGTGAATGAGTCTTAGCTACTACCACACAAAGCTTTAGCTCAATGTCTTGAGAACTGTGTAAATTAAAGCCTTTTTGTGTGTTTTCTTAAGGTTGATTTGCTGTGGTGGCCATCTTGAATCATGCTGACTCCAAAAGTAAATCATAGGCAGACGTTTATCCAAAGATTATTTTCTGAGCGTTGCATTAAAATCTATCCAGTGGTTCATGTAATATTTTGCTAACAGACAAACAGGATTGACTCCAACAGTTACTGGCAAGGTTTTATCAAAAGACATTGCACAATGCATTCTGCTCAAAGTATGTGTTAGGGAGGATGTTCAGCTATCACAACTAATTTTAGCTCAGTAAATGTAATTGAGTTGTAGTGATGTTAGTGTTTCCCAAGGTCAGTTGGCTGTGCAGCCATCTTGTATTGGGCTTGCTACAAAAGTTAATCACTAGATGTTAATCCAGTCATTACTTTCTGAACATTTGATTAAAACCCATCAAATGGTTGAGATATTTCGCTAATGCTACAGACACAAGCAAAAAAGGTAATCCCTGCTTTGCCTTCGGCTCAGTTTAGCCAACTTCAACACAGGTGCTGCATCCTGTGGTTGGTACGTTACCTTGGAGGTGTAGGAGTTTCAGCTTATCTCCTGCAGCTTCAAGACACTAGATGGTGCCAACAAGCACACACCTGTGGACCATTCACCTAATGAGCTGCAGGAATATAAAAGGCAGCTGATGACTTCACTCCAATGCTGGTGCATTATCTGCCAATCCATAGTTGTGTTCCTAGCCACTTTACCGCTTTTGTGATTTGTAAAGACTAAACTCTGCTCTCACGTGTTTCAGCACTGACTCCTGAACCTTGGACCTCCCTGGTTTAACCCTAAACCTCCTTGTGACTTCTCCAGCCATTCCTCGCCTTCCACCACTTGCCCACCAATTATTAAACCTTGTTGGAACTACTGGAGTCTTGTTCCTACGATGACCATTTCCTCCAACAGTATAGGCTTCAGTATACTGCCGCGTACGTCCGTTCACGTGTATGTATGCATGTACTGTACGCAGAGGGTTCAGACTTCATACTCCAGCGTACACCCCGAGCAGCTGCAGAGCAGCTTCACAGACAAGGGGCGTTTACCTTCGGGACAAATTGAGGTCGCCGATTGGTCATTTGCTGACACGCCTACTGGATTGATTGACAGGTCGGAAAAAAGAAAAAATCGAGCGCTGGCAGCCTCAGCCTCAGCCACAGCAGTGTTCTGTGTTTATATGTTGTTAATAAAAAGATCTAAAAACAAAAAACAAAAAAACAGAGAGCGCTGGCTCTACAGTCCACACATCAGACCAGCCCACCAAGAAATCTCCAGACCCTCCCGCAGCCACGCTGGATCTGAGTTTAATTCGCTCGTGACAAATTCCTTCATTTCTCACCATTTCAGTCATGCAGTCAACGGAGGAGGAAGAGATCATTGCCTCTTGGCAAAAAAACAAACAAAAGAAAAGGCCAGACCAGAGATGAAGAAGGGGAATTTAATACATTGGTGTCGCATACAAAACAGTCCGTCGCTGGGCAGTTTATTGTGCGACACCGCATACGCGTATGCAGTCGTAAAAACTTGAGCTTTGCACGGAGGGTACGCTGGGGGGGTACGCACGTACCTCTGCGTACGTACATGCGTACCTCTGTGTATGGATGTACGCGGCAGTATACCGGGGGCTTTAGATATTAAATTACAGTAGTCCCTCGTTTATCGCGGGGGATCTGTACCTTGAAGGCCCGCGATAAGTGAAAAACTGTGAAATAGGAATAGTAGTACAAGTACTAATTTTATTTTAGTGTATATATATATATATATATATATATATATATATACTCTTGCAATATTCAAAACAATGCTTCTAAGCTCTAAACGCTCTAACAGAGCACAGAATGTCATAATTCCAGCTCCCTGCCTCCTCTGCTCTTTGCCACCTGCAAGTGCTCTTGGCCACGCCCACTTCTCCGCTCTGCACAGAGCTCAGCTGATCAGCTGCAGGAGGAAGCTTCTCCTGCGGTGTGGGCTGCACACATGTGCAGCAGGTGCTAAATAATTTAAAATAATTGAATTTAAATAAAAATTCCATGCTGATCTTGTGGCTCATCCATCAATCAGCCAGTTGTGTGTCATGTCCAGTCTTATTTTGAAAAACCGCCATCGAGCGAGTTCATGATAAACGAACCGTGAAGTAGCGAGGGACTACTGTATATCTTGAAACATCCTCAAGGACCTGAGCCTCAAAGTAATCTTTGCCCTTGCTCTCCAGTCCCTTCCAGCCGTGTTGCAGCCTATTGTTAAATTTCGCCTATTGTAAATATTGTTCTTGGTCTTGAAGTTGCTCTTTTCAGCCACAACCATCTGGGTACTTAGTAAACCCTTACAGGAGGACAAACACAACTGCAATAAAGTGACTGAAATCAATGCAGCACAATGTTAGCTGTGAAACCAAAGCAACTGCTGAGTCCTTCTCACTGGCCCTAAGGATCCAACCAGTGTGTCATTCTCCTCATGACTCATCAAGAGGATGCATATGTACACATGCACATGCACATTTCAAACTAGATGCATAGCTTCCTAAACTAGCTCAAAGCTTCCACATATGAGAGACAAAACTCCTCCCTGTAGCTTTTTTGAGAACATTAATGTGTCCTGTTAATATGAGCAACAATAGAGGAACCAGTGGCACACAGATGAAAGCATCACAGAGACAAGTGTGTTTGTGTGACAGAGTCAAAAGGGACAGGGCTGAAAACGACATGGCTGCTCTCTGTTCTTTCAGACGCTGATGTGTTCGCAACAACAGAGAACAATTGCTGCTCAGGATCAGCTGAAAACAAATCATGCATCACGCAGGAAGACGTGACAGCACGACGGATGGTTAAAGGCAGCAGGCACACACACCAGAGCCTAAAACAAAGGTGGGTTGAATATGTTCACCACCCTGTCTGGCTTCTTGGCTTAACCAAAACAAACAAAACAATCCTGTCCAAACCATCATGGCAATTTTATTCTCTAAATCTGTCATACATGACAACCAACTGTTCACTTTGATTTTTACCTTTTTATCACCTGCTGCCAAAAGGTGAAGCGATAATGTTTTTAGTCATGTGTGCGTATCTTTAATTTGTCTGCAGTGTACAAAAAATTTCTCGTTCATCGCTGAATGAAACTTTCACAAAGTCATTTTTAGATGAACATTTACATCTTATGAACACCATTTCAAAATGGCCGCCACAGTAAAGCAGTCTTAGCAAACAGAAAATAACAATAACAGTCAATTTTACAGAGATTGAGCTTAAATTTGGGGTGGTAGTAGCTGATAGTCATTCACAACATTTCCTCCGAGGACTAAGGTGTCACTATATTACGACGTGGATAACATTAGTTTCAAGGTTCGATCAAACTCAACATAAGCTAATCTTGTGTCCTTCATTGGTATGAGTTCCTTCAAGGAACGCTGTAGTAATTTTATCTTCTTGTTTGATTCATCAGTTTTTGACAAATTATAATTTTTCTAGTTGATGTAAAGAGAAATCTCAAATATTTTAAGTATTGCACCTGAACACCATGATGTTTTTAGAGCACTGAAGAGAACAGATATACTAAACTTCCTAATGGCTGCTCTGACTGTAACAGGGGTCAGAGTTCACTGCAGATTTTCTTACCTGGGGCCGTCGGTGCCGTCGTAAGCTCCGACGGTGACATTACGGAACAGCTTCCTTTTGGCTTTCTCACTTCGCGTCTCTGAAACGCACAATCATTTAAGACACACGTCCAATTAAAACTTTCATCTCGCATCATAACACCCTGATACATTGATGTTTACACCTTAGTCTTATGTTTGTGTCCTGGCATGTGGCTTATTTAGTGTGTGATATGAGAATGACTGCTGGTCGGCCTGCTGAAGAACAGCCTGGAGGAGAATTCATGTTTGCAATGTATTGAGGGGATTTTGAAATTATAAATATAATGTGCAACGTGTAGGGTGATAGATGTGGAATATATTACTCACTTATTTCATAAGTTTGAAAAAGGGGTAATATAAAAACAACCTTGACTGCCCTAATAAATTACCATATTTTTCGGACTATAAGGAAAAATCGACAGTAAGCCTTATGTATTAATTCTGATTCTGCTTACTGACCTCGAACTGATTTTATGTGATTCTTGTGAATGAGTTGAATAAAGTTTGACATATCTGACTGTTTTGTTTCGCTTAATGTGCCTTATAGTCTGAAAAATACGGTACTATTAAAATGGGCTTAAAACAGTAGTCTTAAAGCAATGTTTTATTTTGCCTTTTTCCTTGCTGGGCGCTGGCACCTCTTGCACACAGTCTGAAGGGAACCATCCGGTGCGTCCTTTCACAGTTCCCTCCCAGTATCCCCCCTCTCCGATGCTTAACACTGAAAGGCAAAGATCCAGGATGAACTTTGATAGATGGACACAAGTTGATAAAGTTTTGCTTGGATAGACAGAAAATTAAAAAAAAAACTAAGGCAAATGGTCAAGTGACATGAAACAAATATATTTAACTATGTTTATTTACTTAGTATTGTTCGTTTTATGTAAATCAAAAACTTAACTAAAACTTGTTTAATGAAAAATAGAGCATTATCAAAATTTTCCACTGAATTATATTTTCCACGTTGTATCTAAATAACATGCATATTAGATCAAAATGAATTTTTAGGGTTGATTCAACTCCTTTACTGTGGTTTTAGATGAAATGTGTGAGTTGAACTCATGCTTAGTTATTGACTGAAACAGAATGATTTATTTTCTGCCATTTTTTATTTATTTAAGTCTTGTTAGATAGACCTTGAATAAAAACTGGAGCGCAACAAGTAACAAAAAGTATATTTATTAAAAAAAAAAAGTTTAACTGAGACTGTCCAGCTCATATAATGTGAATTTAAACAAATATGGCAAAACATAATTTAAAAAAATATATAAAAAAAGACTAGTTTGATCCATACAAATGAAATAACTCAGAAGCTTCAGTAAAATTTTAGGTTTACCCATTATGATGTTAGAGCTTTTGTATTTGGAGTTTGCATGTTTTTTTTTTAGCTTCATAACCTTCAGAGTTCATTATTCTCCTCATTTTTCCTGGAGTTCAGTTCCTCTCATCTGTATCTCAATTATAATTTGTCCATCTGTTTCCACTTAACAATCACCTGTTCCAGCACTTGTTCTCCTGGTTTTTCTCCTTTCATTCTCAGATACTTTACTTAACCTGCCTCTGTTTTGTTCAGGACTTCTCTATTAGGGTATTAAAGCTCCTGACTGTCATCTCTCTCAGGCTAATGATGGGAATTATGGCTCTTGTCTGAGATCTGGATCATTTGGCTCAGCTCACTAAAAAGAACCGGCTGTTTTGGCTCTGAGCACTGCTTGTGAAAAGCTGTTTGGAACCTGAAAGAGTCAACTTTAAACCCAAATGGCTCTTAAAGAGTTGAGGAGCAGTAATACTCATCACTCCAGCTTCATGTCTGCATATGCTTCTGGGTCCAGCAACAGGAAATCACTAACTCATGACCATGTCCAGAAGACTGCTTCATCTTGAAAGAAAACCATTACAATTCTTGGATCCACCCACATACATATCTTTTAATAAGCACGTTAATCCATTCTCACATAACGTTGACCAGATTCCAACCAAATAATTCTGGGCTGAGAAAAATATTTGAGTGAGTCAATATGAAATGTTTTATGGATTTGTATGTTTCATTACAAAGTAGACAAAGTCTAGAAGGATGTAACAAAAATATTTAATATGAATTAATTAACTCTAATCAAGGGCTTGATTGAATTCTTTGAATGACTTTGTTTGAGTGAGCTTAATGCAATGATGCACTGCAGAGTGTAATAAATACTTGTTTTTGCTGCGTCACATTATCTGTCTTGAAGTACTTTTATGGTAAGGATCCTTAAGCAATACATTTTATTACAGGAGCAGTAAAACAATAAGTTGCATGTAGAATGTCAAGTTAATCTTTTTAACTTGACATACTGACATTGACAGAAGGAAAAAAAATGTCCTTCCTGCTCTTGGCGAAGGCGGACACATTTCCCTCCTGCTCCGTCCCTGCTCTGCTCTTTGTCCTGTGAACCTTTTTTTAGAGCCTCTTTTTGTATTTCTTCTGAATTGATCAAATCATGAATCTGGTCAACTGGTCTCTCAATACAATTGATCAAATTTTCTCGATGAGAAGACAGGGCGAAGGAGAGCCCTCCTGCCCCAACGGGACACTGGCAGCCGATACACAACAGATTCCTGGGGGAAGTGGAAGGTCATGTGTCTGTCCATCTTGTCAGTCGAAGACGCTGAAGATGTGTACATAACTGGATTTACGATAATAGGATTTCTGCTTTTTGGAGTTGGTGGTTACCTGGCATATTGACAATTCAGAAAACGTCGGCAGCTGTACTGGCCATTGTAAAACTGCCCAGCATGTGTGAAGGAATGTGCACACACAGACTCAAATGCTGGATGCAATTCTTGCTGAGAAACGCAGGCTTGCGGCTCCTGAATCTTGCTAGTGGGAAGGAATAGATCTTGGAGAAGTCATAAGCGCGACTCGGCGTATGTGATCACAATTTGGCTGTTTGGTGTCACCATTGAGACTTACTAGCGAGACTATAACAGGCTGATGGAAATTAAAAGAGCTCAGCCTGACCCAAAACAAATGTTGCTATCTGAATCTGGCTCCCCTGGCGTCGGCCTTGGAAGGTCGATTATCTCAGATTCTCCTGGATGTTATGTAAACAAGACGTTATGCTCCCACCTCCCCTACCCACTCCCACATTCCTCATTTGCCCCCCCCCCCCGGTGCAGCAACCTAGGTAGATGCGAAAGCACCAGTGGCTGCTTCGCTCACTTGGGTGGCCTGTGCTGGGACCCCCACCCTCACCCACTCCACATGCATTTGTCTTTATGTCACCAGTATGTTGCTTTTTTGTATGCTGGAATTCTTTGCAGCCTCCTGTTAGGGACACAGTCTGAGATATGATTTTTTTTAACCTCCTCTTCCTTCGTGTTCCCCTTTTTCTAATCTAACGAAAAAGGAAGCGCCTCTCAGTGAGGCTGCAGCCTCAAACACCCGTCTACCCTGTCTGTTGTTTGTTTGTTTGTGTTTCTTTGGATGGGCTGTACTGAAATGTAATTTCATTGTGCTTCTATACAATGACAATAAAGCTGATTCTGATCTGAAGCAATGCACACTAATGATCTGTTTCATATTCTTGCATCGGACCATGCGGAAATGAGTCCGTCGCTCACCTTTAACTTTGTCTCCCTTGTTAAGTGAGAGCTCCTTGTCTCCACTGGCAGAATGGGCCCGAGTGGCCATATACACCCGCCCCGGCACCGCGCTGTACATCCGCTTCATCTGGCCCCCACTGCTGCCTGCTGAGGTTGTGCTTCAAAGGGAGAAAAAGTATTTTCTGAAAGCCTGACATTAGCTGTGCGCTGCAACAAACAAAACTGGTGACATCCAGCTCATCAGGCTACACCACTGACATTTAGTGGCTGAATCATCCTTATCAGTCATGCTGCAATCTGCCATTAAAGTGTCTAGCATTCAGTATTTATAACATTTCTCGTTTTTAACAGAATTGTGACTAGTAAGTGTGTAATTCTGTTTCATGATGTCTGTTGTTCCCCAACAAACTGCTAGTTACTGACAGTTCAAATGTCATCGTGACAAATCCAAACTGTTTTGCATCAGGAAAGAAAGCTCTACATTTAAAAATTCTTCAAGATAAGAGAAAGAGGATAAGAAAGCTACAGGAAGCACAAAAAAGATGCTTCGAATTTAATGCTTTTTGCTCCGGTTTGCTGTGAAGCACAAAAATCAGAGCCTGACTGTGTAAATGTGTTGGTAATATAGTCTGCTACAGACATTAAACTATGGAGCTGCTGCAGCATTTTGTTTTCTGTTAGCAGCATTAAGTTGCATCATCAAAATTCTCTGTTAAGATCCCAAAACTTACATTATTTGAACAGAAGGTAAATCATATGTTCAACTGGATTTGTGCATTTGTTGGTTTTTACTGCAGGGTAAAATGCACAAAAGTGCATTTTTGCGTTTGCATGTAACTACTGGTAGTCAAGTTACATTTTATGTTTAAGAGATCAGCTGGAAAGTAGCTAAAAAGAGCAAAAAAATTTTACATGCACAAAAAGAAAAAGCTGAAATTAGCAGAAAGAGGCCAAAAAAAAAAAAAAAAAAAAAACCATAGAAGCTGAAATTATCACAATTTTTTTTAAAAGGGCAAAAAATAGCTACAAAAAGACGCCCCCCCCCTCGAAATTAGCACACACACACAAAAAAAGCTGAACGAGAACAAAAGCTGAAATGAGCAGTAGAAGTTTTTAAACAGTACAAAGAGTTTAAAGGATGTCAAGAGAGCTCCATTAATTTTCAATGACAAAAAACATGGCTGAAAAAGCAACAAATTCCAAAACGTTAAAATTGCACAAACACCAAAAGTCAGATCAGGAATGTCCTGAATGAGCTGAACGTTTTGATAAAGGAATAGTGGAAATAGAACAAAAAGTGAAGAATAAGTTAAATGCTGTAAAGCGTACGGGAGAAAATGGATGTCAATAGTCTGAATGCTTTATAAGCATTCAGTTATGAATTATTATTATTTATCACACGTCACACAATGACATTTAATATATAATATCAGTAACATGTTTGAGCATAATAAAACTCTAAGGCAAAATGCTCATTATTACAGCCTATTTGAAAACTATTTGCTCATTCGTTGTCAGCATTAGATAAGAAGAACAAGTGGAGATTTTTAATTTGTAACCAGTCTGATAAAGAACCATATTTCTGCTGAATCCTCTCGAACTCTCAGTTATGATGACTCCATAATGACTTTTTAGTTTCCAACCCACCAAATGTTCTTGACAAAATTTCGAGACTAATGACGACCCAAATATTTTTTTTATCTCTTTGTTGTAATTGTGGTTAAAATATGCCAAAGACAAACACAAGTTAATATATGGAGATTACCTAAAGACCCACATTTGGGGTTCATGATCAATGGCGTCCAGCCCCAATTTAGGAAACGATTGATTTAAACCAATCACATTCAACTTGTTGGTTAGATTTTACTACAAGCTAAAATTCTGCTTTTACTCCATTGATGTTCATCATTTATAAATATATAAATGTTCACAGAAACATTACCCCTGTCTGCCTCTTGGCTGCCGTTGTCTCTCCTCTGTATCACTTTGGCCCCCCCTCCCTCTGGAAGGGGAACGTGTGCGAGTTCTGGGACTGCTGGAGCTGCGGACGCCTATGGAGGCCCGGCGTTGACCCTGCAGAAACAAGAACAAAATCATTCAGCATCAAAGGAACATTGCTTACATCACAAAGATGTGCATCTTTTCACCGGTACCTGTCCAGGGTTGGGGTTGGTGGCAGATTTGTTGGGGAGGGCTATCGGGTCAGACTGGGTCATGGTGTTATCACTGTTAGCACGCAGCAGAGGGTGGGACTGAAGCAGGGCAAGAGGCAGAGTGTGGCTCTCCCTTCGCCTGGGAACGAGCTTTGGCGATTCCAAGAAGGGAACTGGTGCGATGCATGATGGGAAGATTTAAATCCAAGAACAAGAGGTCAGGTGTAACAAAAATTAGGGGGAGGGGTTAGTTTAGAAAGGAATGGCGATTATTCACACAGAAGAAATGTGAGAAAATACAGAACAAGTAGATGTTTGGAAGTGATTATTAGAGCAGGCACTCTGACAGAAGGCTTACCTACGTCCAAATCTTTGTGGTTTTTGATGATCTCCCCAAGTTCAAAGTGACCAGACATTACAGCTACCTGCAAAGAAGCAATAACACTTCTTCTGGTGTTCGATCATTCAAATACATCGTCAAAATGGGTTTCGTTTACCTGAAAAGGTGTCTGACCATGTTTATTCTTTGCCTCCTTATTTGCTCCCCTGTACAGAAGAACACGAACGCAGCTTTCCTGAACAGTTAGGAAACAGACACTTGCGGGTCAGCACCGTTCATTGGAAGCAAACTGCAGTTCATTAGTATTAACATGGGAACGTTGGGCGTCTTCTCCAGACTCGCCTTGTTGTACAGGGCCGAGATGTGAAGCGCCGTGTTCCCCGAGGCATTCTGAGAAGCCGTGTCCGCTCCATAAAACAGCAGGTGCTCCAAGTGTTGTGCAAGGCCGTTCTGACAAGCCTTTTAATGTCGGGAAAAATGCACAGACGGTCAGCTTCGGGGGTGCAAGTCGACTTACGTACTATCTGATACTGACGAAAAGAACGACAAATAAATCTTCTGCGGCTCGTGAGGTTTGCTCATATTTTCTGCGGCGACTAAAATATCACACAAAGTAAAGAAAGAAGGCATCGCGCAGCAAGACCAAAATAAAATGTCATGACAACTGGCTCGCAGCACAGATTTACCAGAACGTCACAGTGAACGTATAAGCACCCTCAGACTCAGTGGAGGGAAACATTTATCCCATGATCCATCTGAACTGGACTCATGTTCTTAGAAAACAATGTGGTCTCCTCATTCCTGTCGCCTTTATCGCACTATAGTAAGGTCAGTAAGGACGGTGAGGCGGTGGGATGAAAGTACCTTGTGTATTTCTTCCATTCCAAACTCCTCTTCATCCCTGGGCTTTGGACAGAGAGAGGGAGGGGAGGAAGGAGAGAGAAAAGTGAGGACGAAAGGGAGAATGTGTGAGAAAACGCTGAGGGAGTCTGAGGGTGATGGTGCTCGACAAATACCACATAGATGTGACAGAAATGATGGTGCATTGTTGCAACGTGGAGGCCTGAACATGTCTGATGTAAAACATGAGAGGAAACCATGAATCAACGTCTACGGACTGATGGGTACGTGGAGTTGTCCTCCGTGAGTCTACCTGGTGACTCTCGTCCCAGCCATTCTCATCCCTCGTCCCCAGCTTTGCCCTATAGTACAGCAAAGTCTCACAGCAGGAAGTGTCGCCCCCTGTCAGCACAGTGTGGTACAGCGGGGTCAGGCCACAGCGGTCCTTGTAGTCTGGAGACGCTCCGAGAGATAAAAGAGTCTGACAGGACACAGACAGCAAAGAAAAACATATATATATATATTTTAATGTGAGTGTTTGTGTAATAATATGTCAATATGCAGATGATTAAAATCACCAGATATTACACATGTACTTGAGCACGTCGCTCGCGCCAAACTGAGGCCATTTTGTGTTGAGAAATGACAAAAGTTGTTTGGTCAAACCTTGAACGTAACGTTATCCACAGTCTCATGCTCGAAGTATGTGTTGTAAATGACTGTCAGCTACTACCACGCCCAGTCTGACCTCAGCAGCAGTAACAGTGACTCACTTACAGCCATTCGGTGTTGGCTAACATTGGTTAGCTGCTGCGGCCTTTTTGAAGTTCACTCTAAAAGCCATTCGGTTGAAGGTGGATATTAATTTGGAGATGGTCTCAGTAAAAATCTAATCATTGGTTCATGAGATATTTTGCTAACAGACAGTTGCTTCTTTTGTTAATGTTAAAATTTTAAGCACAAAATGTGCAACGTGTGGATCAGAGTGTTGGGGATGCTACTTAGCTACTATCACCAAATCTTATCAGTATCTATAAAACGGACTCAGTCGGAGCCATTTTTGTGTTTTTAAAGGTCACGTGGAAATCACTTCATGTTCAGCCTTTCGTGCACGTGTGTTGGTTTGGTTTGAAGCTCTCACCAGCAGCCCGGTGTGATTGTGAGCTCTGACAGCTTTGTGCAGCGCCGTCATGCCGTCTCTGCTCCTGAAGTCCAAGTGAGTGCCACCCAGAACCAGCAGCCTGATGCCCTCTACCGACAGGCCGGACTGCGTGGCCACAGAGAGCGGGCTCTCTGGGCCACATGGGGGGGCAGACAGGATGACCAGTTAACAATTGCTTCTTTTCTTTGTTTTAAATAAATAAATTATCTGCAAGAGGTTGGGGTGAGCAATTTACCTCCACTGTCTGGGTCTTGAAAATTTGGATCCAGACCTTTTTCGAGGACTTTGGCCATTTTCTCCATCGCTCCGGTCTGAACGTATTCCAGAAACTTCTTCTGACTGGCCTGGGAGAGGAAAAGATGGGAGAACACAGTGAAGACTGGACCTCAAAGCTGTACAGCTTTTAATGATCTTGTTAAAGTAAAATTAAAAATAATAAAGAAAATTATACTGTACCTTCGTGCAGAGTTTAGCCAGAGCTTTTTCATCCAGATTGGTTTGTTTATAAACTCTGGTTTTATACCTAAACTAAGGACAAAAAGAAAAATCTGTGCTAAAAGTGCAAATAACATCAGAATATTCAGTCTATGACAATACAACAAGAGACATTTGTGTAGTAAATTCACATTTAGTGGTCAATCTCTCCCACTCAGACTGGCTGGAATAACTCCATCATCCATTTTAGAATATTAGGCCAGATTAGTACATGGAAGAAGCTGCGAACATTTAAATTTGTTGAAACTTCTGAAATCTAAATACAAAGTATATAGAACCAGTTCAATACTCATTTAACAGCTACTTATTATGAAAACATTCCTTTAATTAGTGCATTACATTTCACCTTGCTTGTTTTAAATGATCTCACCTGATTTATTAGCGTTCAGAGTAATTGTAGTGAATGACTCTCAGCTACTACCAAATCAAGTTTTAGCTCAATATCTGTAAAATTGGCTGCGTTTAGCCATTTTGTCTTCATCATGAACTGGGTTGACTCTAAAAATGATCAGATGTTCAATGGGAGCTTCCTGGAATTCATCCATAAAATCTAACCTTGTGCTTCATGAGATATTTCATGAAGAACCAAACAGGATTACATTCATCAGCATAATTAAAAACCTCCCAAAAAAGCCAGAGCTGGTGTGATTTTATCGCTGACAACTGCTCACAACAAATTTTTCATATTTCTGATACAGCGTTGAAAGTCTGTCGTCACCTCCCTTGTGGCGTGACTTTACTTTTGCACATTGGATTTTTCAGAGGATCTATATTCAGTAACAAGGCTCTTTCACTAACATGTCCAAATCTGAATCCCTGATAAGAATGAAGACACCTGATCCCATTAGAAACCAGTCTGAGTGCAGGATCTACTCTTACAGGCCCCAAGGACGTAGTAGCAGTAACAGCAGCTACACCACTAGAGGGCGCTGTTTCATCATATTACAGAAAAAAACATGAAACTGATACTTTCCCACAACCCATTTACCCAAAATTAGAGTAATAAAACACAGAGACATTTGTAGATTATAAAATTTACAGAATGTAATAAAGTCTCTGTGTTTGTGAGGAGTTCATTAACTTGCTTCATTTCCTCCGCCGTGGAGGAGAAATCTGATCAGAGGAAGTAATTTCTAATAGTTAAAGACCATTTTATTTTTACAGTTTATTTATGAACACAAACATTTTCAGGGTTGTTCCGTTAGCTGCTGCTCAAATTCTTGAAAAAAACAAACAAACAAACAAACAGATTTTTATGGAGCATGCACAATATTTCTGTTACTACAGTGACCTTTGAGTTCAAACAGGTTGTCAGCTTTTAGCAAAAAAATATTGAAGTTAAAGCTTTCATAATCTTTCTAGAAATACCCAGACTACACATTTAACTCAACTAATTAAATATGTGTGTCGCTCAAGTGTATAAAACAGTACTGGGTTTTCATTTTGAGAATAAAAAAGTTAAAATACATATAGTTTAAGTGCCTCAGATTTCAGATTCTTCATCTTTGTGTGCAAAAGATAGAAGTCTTGTGTTTGCCTGTGCCGTCATACCTCAAGGTAGGGCACGCCCTTCTCAAAGGTCTGTGCGTAGTCCCGCAGGGGCCTCTCCTCCTCCAGGAACTTGGCGTCTCGTCCTTCTCCAGCAGGCTGGAAGAGGCCGTAGTTGTGAACGTCCCACAAAGACTCACCGAGCGAGAAGATGACCTGCTGCTTCGCACTCCACACCGTGCAGTCCTGGTCGAACTGGAGACACCTCTGAAGGACGAACAGAGAGAAGGTCAGAGGTCAAACTGCAGGTTCGCCTCTCATCAACATATTAATTATTGCCCACAACAAAAAGGCAAAGGCAGACAATCGAGTTCTTGTCTGTGCCTGCATATGTTCGTGTGTGTTAGCATAATATCTCATGAACAACTAGAATGATTTTAAAGAAAGCTTCAGATTAGAAATGCATCTGCACCGGATTGATTTTTATATGAATTTAATTCAAGATTGGCACCACAGCTAATCAACACAAAATCAATTTTACAGACATGGGGGTAAAAACTGATGTGGTAGTAGCTGAGAGTCATTCACAGCATGTAGAGTGTGACTTCATGCGTGATTTATTTTCAACGTTTCACCAAAACGGCTACAACTCCATTACTTAACGTAAGTGGATCTAGTCTTTAATTCTGGCATGAAAGGCAGCGGGTGACATGCATTCCTTCAAGGAATGGCAAATCTTTAATTACCCCCCATCACAAAGCAAAGAGGGGAGATACCCTCCGTCCATCTGTGCATGTGAGCATGATCATCTGGAAAAAATAAGGAGGCACCAACAAAACTACAAACATTCACTGTTCAGATCTCTGAGCAACAGAGGGCATCGACATTCATCTTGTTTTTATCATGTTGGGGGATTTTAGAAGAAAATGATGAGTTTTAAACTCTGCATTGCTACGGTACTGTATATTTTTGGACTATAAGGTGCATTAAGCAAATCAAAACGGTCAGATAAGTCAAACTTTATTCAACTCATTCACAAGAACCACATAAAATCTGTTTGAGGTCAGTAAGCACAACCAGAGTTAATGCATACTGATTATAAGGCTCACTGTCGATTTTTGAGAAGGTTATAGGATTTTAAGTGTGCCTTATAGTCTGAAAAATACGGTAACCACAACTTAAAAAGCTTCACGTCTGTTGAAAAATAAAAAAATATCCAGCCTGGCTGAACAGGAATCCATCTGTGGCATCAGGGAGGAAAATGTGAATTGACAGAACCACCTGTTTGTTCAGTCCATTCCAGCTGGTGTTGTACTTTGGACTGAAGCAAGTTCTGATCCTGACCCATTCCCTCACAGGTTAGTAAACCCAGGCAGGATTGTTGTTCCTACCCCGGTGCCTCCATCTGGACTCATCGGACCATGCAAACATGTTTCCATCACTTCAGGTCCTTCCAGTTTGAACAACATGCAGTCAACAGTATTATCCTAATTGTTTCATTTGTTTAATGCAAATTAACCATTTGACCCTTCTTCAATAAAAGAACATGTTTTTCCCTGAACCATAGAATATTCACCTTTGTTAAAGGGTGTACTTAGTGCATTAAGTAGGACTAAATGACTTTTTGTCATCTGCAGGAATAACCTCACTATTTGAACGATTTTATATGTTTATTTACTCTTAACAATCATTTCCCAGGATGTGTTTAAATCCTGGTAAAGTGTTATAATAAGAGTCATTCAATAGAATAAAATCAGTTACACCAAAGCTTATCTTTATGAGTACAGTATATAATAACCCTTTAAATATGAAATCAAACAATTATTTTAAGTTTACTACTTTAAATTGTGCTTTTTATTTTAGTGAACCAACCATTTTGTTGATAAATGACAGAGCTGTAGCTGTTTTGGTCAAACCTAAATGCTTAATCTTAATTTAACATTGTTATATGTCACCATCAGAGCATGACAACTACCACATGACAACCATCTTACCATACCATAGCACTTTATTTATTTATTTCATTTACCCTTTATTTATACAGGTAGTCTCATTGAGTCATGAGAACTCATTTTCAAGAGAGACCTGTTTAGGGAGCAGATGGTGGTTAAGGGCCTTGCTCAGGGGCCCAGAGTGGGGCGAATGAGGGTGGAGGCAGGTGTGGATGTTTCACCTTTTCCACCCACATTTTTTGATGTTGACGGTACTGGGAGTTGAACCGTCAACATCAAAAAAATTAATATTAAAAATGATAAAGTACTCAAGGCCAAAAAGTTATGTACAGCAAAAATAAACAAGCAAAGAACACAGCGTAAAGACATAGATCCACAGAGGAACTAAATGACATTATAGAACACAACAAGTTAAAATCAACTCACACAGTGTCAAAAGCCTGGGAATAAAAGTGTTTTCAAACAAGATTTAAAAACAGTGAGAGAAGGGGCCCGCCTGACATGCAGTGGTAACTCATTCCACAGTTTTGGACCTGCAACAGAGAAGGTCCTGTCACCCCTGAGCTTAAAACAAGTGCCTGGAACCAATAAAAGCATCTGATCTGCTGACCTCAGAGATCGCTGTGGGACATATGGCTGCAGCAGATCAGTGACATAAGAGGGGGCAGAGCTGTTCAGAGATTTAAAAACATACAGAAGGATTTTAAAACGAATTTGAAAATGAACTGGGAGCCAGTGAAGGGAGGCCAGAACTGGTGTAATGTGCTCTTTTTTGCCTGTACCAGTTAAAAATTGGGCTGCAGCATTTTGAACCAGTTGTAATCGTGCGATGGAGCTCTGGCTTCTTCCAAAAAGAAATGCATTGCAGTAATGGAGCCTGGAAGTTATGTTCACATGTATAATTGTCTCAAGGTTAGTTTGAGACAGTATGAGCTTCAGTTTAGACAGTCGCTTAAACTGAAAAAAACAAAACAGGATTTAATCATGATGTTTACATGACTGTTTAGTTTCACTCCCAGATTAGTGACGCTTTGTTTCTCTAACGGGGCTAGAGAGGAGAGGTTGATGCAGTGGTTCTCGATCATTAGGAGGAAACAGCATGACTTGTCTTCTTCTCATTAAAGTTTAAGAAATTTAAAGCCATCCAGTTCCTGATGTCAACCAGTCAGTTTTGTATTAGATCATCTTGAAAGGTTAATAAATCGTAGATGTGTATTAAACGATAATATCCTGAAAGATTCTTTGAAACCTGTTCATCGGATCATGACACATTTATCTAACCAAAAAAAATGACTTTAATAGTTAATGACAAAATTTTCACAAACATCTTGCATGATCTGTTATTCAGAATATGGTTTAGAGATACGTCCAAGCTTCCACCTCAACAAGATTTAGCTGAATATCTATGAAACTGACTGTGTTATCGTCATTTCTGTGATCTGTATTTTAGGTCTGTTGGTTGTGGGCGCCATCTTGAATTGCGATGTAGATGCTGTTACTTTATGTAAGTTTTATGAAAGTTGCCATTGGAAACTTCAAATGTTAACAGACAAACGAACGATATCATCTGCCTCCGCTTTTTGGTTGTGGGCGATAAAAACCTTAAAACAACCCACAGACTTTCAGTTTAGCTTTTGTTCATTACTCTCACGCCTCTGTTTGTTTTGAAAGGTCTCACAGACGCAGCGATCCGAGAGATTTGACCACAAAAGCAGCACCTAGCTGAACAAACCACGACTTCCATCCAAACTGTCTGACAGGCTGAACGTCTGTGAGTGAAGGATGAAGACGAGCGACTGACGTGTGCAGAATGTGAACACGTTCCTTTTAAAGTTTTCATCACCTGCAACGTTCATGGACATGAGATCAGGCTTGCTGTTGTTTATCTTCACACCATGTTTACTTGTGATACAGAAGAACAAGTAATAGATAAATGTCTGCTGTTTGTGCTGTATTGGATGTGTTAAATTATCACCACCTACAGTAGAAAGAACAAACCTCTTTGTAAAGAAAATCTCCTCTCATTGTGTGTCTTTGTGTTGTACACCCGAGGCCCCAGATTGAAACAAAATGTACTCTGGCTGTGACTTTCCTAACTCAATCTTTGCTCGTCTCCTCATATTTCTCCATTTTCCTCCCCAGGTCTTTTTGCTCTTATTAAAATCTAAAGCCGGAGGAGAGGTTTGACAGAAAACACGACTTCCAACAAGAAATGGGATCATCATGTGAACGAGTCGCACACATCAGTGTTGCATTTCTGAGAACTGTATAAAAAAACTGCACAGCTCAGCACCCCCTTCTCCTCCCTCCCTCTCCCCTTTGAGCCCCGACTCGGTTGCGCTGCTTGATGGTGTAGTCAACTCGATTGGCATGGCAACCAGTTCATTAGAGGGAGGCAGGCACCCGTTGCCGTAGCAATGTCTTAGTGGTCCCCAGGAGGTAAACCACATGATGTACAGGAGCGTGTGTGTGTTTACGCATACACACATAAAGCTGCGATGCACTTCTTCAGTGCATTCTTGGAGAAAGTGTGTTTGTGTGTGTGTGTGTGCTTTGCTGAGTGTGTGAAAGAACGAGTGCAAGGCTAATCCCTGGGAGAGGAAAGACTGGCGTAATATATACAATACGTTATAGAGACACTTTGTTCTGTATGTCTGTTTTATTCGGAACAATCGGCTTTATTTGCTTCTCCCTGGCTCTGTGGAAAGTACTGAAAACACACTTTTGCTTCTACAATCATCTGCTCTTCCCCCACTTCCTTTCTCTTTAACAGCGTTCAGGTTTGGAGGTGCAGAGCGTTTCGTTAGTTTTGCGCGGAGCCTGTGGCCACGCAGAAAACCATCCACATCCAGAGCCACTCACTCCTCAGCTCTCCCCAAACTCATTAAAAACCTATTAGATAATTAGCAATTACCGTTATATTGAGGGCATATTAGCTGACATGTAGAACACTTGGCATGTTCAGGGAGTTGAAAATGAAGAAAGGTTGATGGGGGGAGCGGGGGTGGGGGGGATTCTTACCTTGGATGTTGTGCATGTGTGAGTTTGTCAATTCTCACCTGCTGCCACCACAAAGCTGACAGCTGCTGTGCGTGTGAAATGATGCTCACGTCAGTTTTGGAGCCCATTTATGACCCAAAGCAGATGCGGACATGATGCGGTTTTAATATTTTGTCATCCCTTTGTGGCTCCAGCACAGTGGTCTGGATGAATTCCTTCTTTGGTTTGGGACATTTAATCTGGACCAGAGGAGTAATTCTATAAATGCTTTCATGCAGCTGTGTACATATAAAAAAAAAAAAAAAAAAAAACAACTTAAAATTGAGCAGCTTTGGGTTCTTCAAAGCAACCAATTTCACACGGATGTTGGAATCTACTCTGGAGCAGAATTACGTTAAACGTTTTTAATTTAGGAATGCAAGTTTGTTGGGTTTCACTGGGAAAATCAAGTAAAAGCTGTGAAGCTCAATACACTTTCTAGTTGTTTTGACTGAGAAACAGAATAGAAGTCCAGTTGTTTTTGTTTGTTTGTTTGTCTTTTTAAATGCCTTAGAGAGAGAAAAAAAAGTATATCAAGAAGAGTCGATAGACCCAAAATAACTGTTGTTATCTGAATCTGGCTCCCCCGCTTGACCTTGAATTGGCCAACTATCTCAAACTCTCCTGGATGTTATGTGAACAAGACGCTCTGCTCCCCCATCTCCTACTCGCTCCCTTCCTGAGGACATCTGTGGACCTGTATCAGAGCTGAGCCGGCTGATAGACACTGCACCATCACTTATCAGGACTATGGAACTATCTGGCAGTGTCCACAGATAAACTCACTGCCTTCGTCTGCCTCCTCCTGCATTAAAATATTACGATGTCATCAGTATGTTGTTGTTTCTGTGCTGAGGTCTTTTCTTTTCAACTTTCACACTGTGTCCCATCTAGGACGCTGTGCGAGATATGATTTTTTTATACCTCCTCTCTCCTCATGTTTCTGTTTTTTTTTATCTAAACAAAAAGGACAGCGTCTTCTGAGGCTGCGGCCTCAGACACCTCTGTCTCCTCATGTCTGTTGTTTATGTTTCTTGGATGTAATTTCGTTGCGCTTCGGTGCAATGACAATAAAGCTGATTCTGATTCCTGGTTCCTGGGAGAAAAACAACTCAGACATGTTCTTGTTTTTAGTTTTCTACACTGCCTTACAAGCTAGCTGTTTTTTTGTTACGTTCTTTTAATACCATTTTATTTTCACTTGTTATTTTCAATTTGTATGCATCCTTTTATGATTATCTATTGTTGTCTTTGCTGTCCACTGTTGTCATCACTCTTTGTTAAAACCTGGTCCGTCTTGTAAATGAGTCCCCGAAGCTCAATGGGATTAACCTGTCTAAATAAAGGTTGAATGAATGAATTCTGATTCTGATATGCAGGTTTAGTTGTGTCTGTAGAAGGGATCAGTCCAGGTCATTTAAGTCAAATGTAAATCTGCCTTGATGTAAACTGAGACATTAATGAAAAGTTCTTAAATTCTTCGTGTCAAATTAAAGCTACATCTCTCTCTCTGAGGCTGTAATACCAGAGAGACCTGGCTTGAACTACTTCCTCATTTTGAAAGACCTCCTGTCAGTGCCCTGTTTGAAAGACAAACTTTTTCTAGCAGATTTGCTCAACTCTTTAATTTCATCTCTTGGTTTAAATGTTGGGTCAGACAAACTATTAAGGAGTTGTATGGCTTGATTTGAAGGTGTTAGTGTGGGCGGTGTTCTGGGTGCACCTACGGTCTGTTTGATGTCGGGGATTCCGATGCGGAACACCATCATGGTCAGGAAAGTGTCCTCGAGTGGAGCCATGGCCGTCATGCTGCGCTCCATGAGAGCTCGTCTCTTTGCTGCTATCAGATGCTGCTGCTTGTTGGCAGCGTGGCGATGTTGTGGGGCCTGACTGGACATGTGAGGGGCGCCCCGGTTCTCCAGGTTCCCCGGTCTCAGGGGCCTCTCTGCTCTCTGTCTGCCAAACGCAAAGACTGCGGGTTTCACCACCTCGCCACCTTTAACCTCCCAGGATTGTCGTACTGAGGTCATTTCCTCCTCTCCCAAATCCTCCACTCCTCCGTTCTCCCTGTCACGTTGACCGTCGTCTAGTCGCCTTTCTCTTCTTTGCTCTTCTTCCTCCTCCTCATCCTCCTCATCTTTGTCATCCTGGTCAGGATAAAAATGTTCATTATTTCCCAGCATCCTTTTCTGTGCAGGGGGTCACTGCAGAGGGCTGAGTGATCAAGCTGTCATGGAGACAAAGCATGGCTATCCCATGAGACTGGCTCCATCCTTGGAAACATGCTGTGGAAAACGGACAGAGAACAACGTAAACTTGGGTCATTTGGTTCTTATTTCATTAAGAGTGAAATTCAACACAGTTAGAATGTGTGCAACAATAGCAGATCTACCCACTGGCAATGTTAATAAGTCCACATGTGTGAATTAGCACAGAGCTGGTCCACATTTCCCATTTAGCCACTGGGAATGCACCAGGGAACAGCAGGCTGATGGAAGACAGGCTAAATATAAACTCAGTGAATTTGCATCACAGGTTCTTTGTGGAAGGGTGCGAGGTGGATGCAATTTACCATCACACGAGGTCAAGATCATTTCTGCTCCGTGGTAATGGAGTAGCCAACTGTGTGGCTCACAGCTGAAGGTTAACAGCTAGATTTGACATTGGTAAAGAAAAACTCCACCTTTAATAACTATAAAATATAAACATGTTCTGTGACAATATTTCAAAATTAACCTTTTGATTGATCTTATTATATAGTCTTATACATATATATATATATATATATACTGTACTTTCCGCCGCACACGCCGCACCGCCTTATAAGTCACATCAGTCCAAAAATGCCTAATAAAGTGGAAAAATACATAAATATATCACTTCGCCTTATGAGTCGCATCTATTATGCGTCACCGCTGGACTGAACCCGGAAATGTGGGCCGGTGTTGTGCCAAAAATCGATTGGCTGCCAAATGGTGGCTGCGGGAGCGTACACGGAAGGACTTTAACAAGAATTTATCAAGATTAACACTTTAAAACAATTATTTGTTTGCTCGAAATTATAGCAAAGGTATGTTTCAGTTTAACTTTTCCTTAATAAATGCACTTTAATGGTCAAATCAGCTGCATTTCACCTGGGCGGTAAAATGCAGCTGATTTGACGTTTGCTCCATGAGTTCCAGAGCGAGCCGAAGGTGGCTTGGTATGGCAAGCCAAATGTCTCATTAATAGCCACTTTTACCTATTAATGAGACACATTTTTTTCATTCAACCTTTATTTATACAGGTTGAATTTTGGCTTGCCATATTCATGAATTTGAACTTGGCCTGCCATATTAGTCGAGGGCCCTCTAGTGGCTGAATATGGTAGTGTTTAATGTTTTCCATGTCAGAATGAATGAAATCGTCAGATCTGCACCAAAAATTGGGTTAAAAATATAGGGAAAAAACATAAACGAGTCACTTCACCATATAAGTCGCAGTGCATGAAAGTTTATGCAAAAAGGTGTGACTTATATGGCGAAAAGTATGGTATATGTACAGTACTGCAGGTGGATGAGTGGTTAGAGCAGTCGTCCTTCAATGCAATAATTTGGGGTTTGATTCCACTAGCAGTCAAATCCTAAAGTGTCCCTGGGCAAGACACTGAACCCCTCATTGCCTCCGATGTGTGTCCCATAAATGTATGAACTGATTATTCTTTGTAGAGATCTACTAGAGTGCTGTATGAATGGGTAAAAGAGGACATAGATTATAGTGTAAAGTGCTTTGAGTATCTTGATCGGATAGAAAGGCACTATATAAGTACAGTCCATACATATACATATATATATATATATATATATATATATATATATATATATATATATATTCAAAGTAATTAAGTTCTGGATCTGCTTCTAAAGTATTTAAGTTAATAAAAGACACACTCAAACTCTTTTATTATAATACCTGATTGAACACTTCGTAAGTGAGGAGAGTTACCTCAAGGAGTAATTTCCTCTGCTGCCATATTGATTTCTTCCTTTATGATTCAAAGCTCAGTGTCTATAAAGAGGACCCATATGTTTTTATATTGTTGCTTTATTAATGGCAATTAATTGCTATGATCAGAGAGCCCCTGACAATGGATGACATCCTGCAAGCGATCCATCTGGAGGCAAGTCTGTAAAAGCTTCAAGACTGTTCTGAAACACCTTCCAGTTCTTCTAGAAATGCTTCCCGAGTTTTAAAATTAGATGATTTTACGTTATGGCTAGTTTGATAAAATTTTGAAAGATTATGTGTTAATTATTACACAATATTGTTAAAGCTTACACAATCTGTTTACACTCAGAGAATATGTTGTAAATGACTCTCATCTACTACCATACCAAACTTTGACTCAAATTATCTCTGATGTAGCATTTTTTATAATTACTAATAATGTTTATCTGTGGTGACCATCTTGTGCTGACTTCAAAAGTTAAATAGCCGGATAGGTACAAACAATAATTACAAGCAGAGAAATATTTCACCTACCCTACAGTCAACCTCACACACAGACAGGAAAAATAAAATACAACAATGATTTAATTTCGCCTTTTAGCAGCAATTAATAAAAAGACTATGGCTCCATTAATGCTGGGAATGATGTAGGTGTTGGCTGTAAACCGTCAGTGCTGAGTTTAATTTCTCTCTGAAAATCAAATGTTCCTGTTCCTGCTCATATTAAACATCTTCTGAGGACGTTCTTCATATTAACTCAACTGACATAAACTATCAAATGTATTTAGGTTCATATAATGGTAGATCTTTGGTACAAGTGAGGTTACATCATGTGTTAGCGTTTGCACCAGAATATGTTTTGTCCTTATTTGTTTTCAACCTGACTGCAGATCTGGACCATCACCCACGGCTGCCTTGATTATAATGAGTGACGCAGGGGATCTCCCAGTATCTCACTGGCATATGATCTGAACATCGCACGAACTGGGAGTCTGAAATACACGAACATCAGAGTACAGTACACAGATGGACGGCTGGACCCCACTGAGACACAACTTGATTTAGGACACATATCTAAACTCATTCTGTCACAGATCGCCATCAGTTGGTTATTAACAGAGAAGACAAGGTGCAGATGAAAGATGGTGTCCTCGTATTGGACTAACAGCATCAACAGTAGTCTGGCACAACTTAACGATGAAGCGGTATTTACAGATAAACTATAGCAGGAAGGTTGCTCTTCAACTTCTTGTTGAGCAAAACATTTTTTCACCAACGCGTCCCCACATTTGATTGTTCTACATCTGCAAATGTGTGACACAGCAATAAAGGCATTTAGATGTCACATCAAAAACATTGTTCTCTTTAAAGTCTACTTTTATATACTGACTATATTTTGGCTACTTTTAGGTGTTAGCTAACATTTAGCTACTTTTAGCTAGTGTTTTGCTATTTTCAAGCAGCATTTTTGCTACATTTAGCAGTTTTGTTTGCCACGTTTAGCTAGCATTATGTTAAACTTGGCTTTCGGCTCCATTTCAGCTTCTTTAGCAGAATTCACTTTTCATGTCTGTAGAAAATTCAGTTTTTCTTGTTTATTCATTTTTTTATTATTTTTTTACCAACCAGGATCTTTCCTGTGTTTGCATCCTTGATATTCCCATAATATAAACTTTAGATCATCATGAGGAAGTATTACGTTTTGTGGTTAAATTTAAATATATTTGTAATAAAGTCACAAATGAATGATCTAAGCCTAAGTGCTCATGTTCTAATGGTCGGAGTCTTCTGCTTGAGCATTTAAAGATGGAGAGGAGAGCTCAGTTCTCCAAGACTCTGCAGGCTGAAAACCAATAAAACGTGAGGGATGATTAAAAACTGCTTGTAGCAACAGATTTTTGAACAAATTGATTTAATTAATAAGAATTAAATGCAACAACCAGAAGGTGTGCTACCTCTAACCTATATAAGATTTTATTGAACTTTTCTACCTCCAGCAATAAAGTCAGGAGTCTCAGCTGAGAGAAAGAGCTGTTCTGTTGTCCATTTATCAATGGTCTGAAATCCATTTTCAGCAGTAAAGGCACGGCAGCATCGGGACTCACCTTTGTTGAATTTGCAAGTATGATTTCCACTCTTGAAAGTGATCACATTTTAGGCCGAAAGCTTTTCTAATTAAAAGCTGACAAAGAGCTGCTTGTTAACACTCGCAAGGTTTTCACTGTTATCATTCAGGAACACCAAGAGGGACTGAAGCCGGCTGATTTATGAAGAAAGACTCATTAAATATTGAACAACGTTGTAGTCACCAGAAAAGGAACTGCAGGGACAGACTGAGGGGAGAGAGGAGCCAAGTAATTGGGATGTAAAGCAATAGTGGTAAAACACAGGAGAGAAAAGGATTTGGAGTTTGCATAAAGGGAAGCCATGAAAGAAAAGGAGGATGCTGAGGCTGAAGCAACGCTGAGAGCTAAAGACAAATAAAGCAGCAATGAAACAACAGAAAAATATGAACTAAAGCAATTATGTGTCCCAAAACTATGAGAACTATTGGAATTAAAACCAATTAGACCTCCAGAAACATACAGCTCAGCACTTTAGTGTTGCAGAAAGTATTTTCTCCTTTACTCAGCTGTTCTCTTTTATTTAATTATTTATTTATTTATATGGGCACCAGTGACCCCCGCAACCTGAAAAGGAAGAAGCCGGTAAAAGAAAATGGATGGATGGATGGATTTATTTATTTATTTTCTTGGTACTGACATTCATTGTCTAAAAGTCTTGACTTTATTTTGTCTTGGAAAAACCTGCAACGCAATAATTAATAATGCTCTTCAATATGGCACCCCACGAAGCATTTAATCAATTGTAAATTAATACAATCGTCAATTGTTTGCTTAAAAACAATTCACAGTGATTTTACTATTTACTTGAGACTCCAGTTCATTATTATAAACTTGAGATGTTTGTTTTCGCAGCCTTCTTGTGGTTACATTTATTTCTCTGTCTCGGGCCTGCGTCACATTTTCTCCTCAGAAGTTGGACTTGTAGGACGCTGCAGGCGAGTTTGTGTTCACTTATATTTGTTGCAGCGTGATAGATGGAATAAACTGCAGTTAGACAAGAATCAACTGAGGCAAGGAAACAACAAGGCTCTTAAACTATACAACACAGTAGGATGTGGAAATGAACCAGGAGTGGTACACGTGAAGGGTGACTAATGCCAACAG